AAAAACAGAAATGAATAATAAAATAAAACGGATGCCACGCATATTAAGGATTTATAGTGAAAAACTTTGTTTTTACGGGTTAATGTTTTGTGGGTTCCGTCTTCCGACGATGCAGGAGGCCGGAGGCGATCGCCTCCACGCTCGGTGTCTCAATATAACGCGTCACGTGAGTCAGTGGTGTCCGCTAGCCCGATGGGTAGTGGGGGGGGGGCACCGGTCCCACAAGGGCCCCCCACTCCACACGGTCTACCCCCCCCCCCCTCCCCAATAGGAGCAGTGTTAATTGCGTCATTCGCGACAATTATTGACGGAAAATGTTCGCGTTGTGATTTGAGTCGTCGGTGACCGAGTGGACGGAAATCATCAACGTGACGCCTACGGCTACTACCCACGCAGTACCACCATCATCACAGTCATCACCATGATTATCACTATCATCATCACTACCATCATCATTACCATCATCATCATTACCGCCACTACCATCATCACCACCATCAGTATCAACACTCTCATCATCATCACCATGACCCGCACCACTACCGTCATCACCACCATCATTAGTATTGACACTACCATCATCATCACCATGACCGGCACCACTACCATCATCACTACCACGACCATCATCACCACCATCAGTTTCAACACTACCATCATCATCACCATGACCCGCACCACTACCATCATCACCACCATCAGTATCAGCACTACCATCATCATCACCACTATCATCACCACTACCATCATCACCACCATAAGTATCAACACTACCATCATCATCACCACTATCATCACCACTACCATCATCACCACCATCAGTATCAACACTACCATCATCATCACTATGACCCGCACCACTACCATCATCACTACCACGACCATCATCACCACCATCAGTATCAACACTACCATCATCATCACCATGACCGGCACCACTACCATCATCACTACCACGACCATCATCACCACCATCAGTATCAACACTACCATCACCCTCACCACTACCATCATCACCACTACCATCATCACTACCATCAGTATCAACACTACCATCACCCTCACCACTACCATCATCACCACTATCATCATCACTACCACTACCATCATCACCACTATCATCACTACCACTACCATCATCATCACCATCAGTATCAACACTACCATCACCCTCACCACTACCATCATCACCACTATCATCACTACCACTACCATCATCATCACCATCAGTATCAACACTACCATCACCCTCACCACTACCATCATCACCACCGCGACTTCACGAGTCGTGATGAAGGTGCAGACCCGGACAGCCGAGGCCGCTCCGCTGGAGACCGCGGGGCCGTTCGTTGCGGGAGACGTCGCGCGCGCCGATTGGCTGCGTGCGAGTATGACGAGTCATCATCCGGGCTCTCCGATTGGCTGACATCTCTCGCCTGTCGCCTGATGATGCTGGTTGTTGTGATTACCGGTGAAACGTCGTACTCAAGATTGTAAATGTCGTGGCTTTGCTCTCCAACACACAACCGGTGTAGTGCTGTACTAGTGACGAATTGGCACGTTCTGTTTACGTGACAAACCTTAACAATTGGCTGTGTCGAGTGGTGGCGGGTTTAACGACGCATTTATATTTACGTGATCTAACCCGAAATAAACCCGTATGATGGATCTCTCGTCTGTTCGACTGGAAGCAGTGGCTCTTCTTCTTAACCCGGGGTGCATCTCGCTTAGAGAGCCACCGCTGATCCCCCCCCAACGAACTCAAAGTGCAAGCCCCAGTTCTGAAGAAATTTCCTTTTCCCATCAAGATGATGATTTAAAAGACCACAGCGCTAGCGGCTTCCGAACATCGCACACAAGAGCGTTCCAGACGGCCGCAGAAGCACATCTGAAAGCGCTGTTTTCGTTCCATGGCTGGACAAAAGCCACTGATTTAACAATTTTTGTTCAACGAAACTACTTTTGTATTTGACCATGTAAGGCCCACTGAGGTGTGTGGCTCTCTGGAGCGATGTAGCTCCGATCACAAATGGCAGCTCAGCGAATTGGCTCATCATCATCACGTCGAAATGTACAGCAGCCAAACACTCGAAACGCTGTGACGTCGATTCTGAATGTGTTGGGGAAAACCCGAGGACGCAGAGACAAAATCAACACGCGACCACGGGGAGAGAGAGACACGCAAACTACCAAATATACAGCAGCAGGCGTCAGGGTCGGGATCGAACCCAAGACCTCCTGTAGACCAGGCGAGGTAGTTAACATCTCACCACGGAGAGACATGCAGACTTTAAATATACAGCAGCAGCAGTGGCGGCTCCTGCAAAATCTCTCAGGGGGGGCAAATGTCTGGATGATTGATAAGGATAAGGTCCACCCTTGCAATGGATAAATTAACAGCTTAAGCATGTAAAGGCAACTTCACTTCTTTAATATTAATGAAAAATAAAGTGACTCTTACAATACATCTTGTTTGTTTCTATACTCACTATTAATATACAATCCACTCAAGTTTCTTTTATTAAAGATTCCACTAGGTGGCGACAAATTATATTGTTGGATGAAACGTGCTTACGTATGATGACGTAAGCACGTTAGGGCGAGCCCTCTCGGAAGCCATAGAGAATGCATTGCAGCGCCCCCGTTCGAAAAAAAACATCTTTGAACGTAAGTCTATGGGAACACTCTGGGCGATTCTCAGCCGGAGTGAAATCGCCCAAAAAGAGGCGGTACTCCACAGAACGTGACATGACGCTGATTGGACTATATCCAGAGGCACAGTGACGGCTAGCGTGACTCTGTGGTTGAATGACATTGGTGGTGCGTCGCCCAATCGCCCTAATGAAGAAACTGCCCCTGAGCAGCAGGCATCAGGGTCAGGATCGAACCCACGACCTCCTGTAGACCAGGCGAGGTAGTTATCATCTCACCACGGAGAGAGAGAGACACGCAAACTACAAATATACAGCAGGCATCGTCAGGGTCGGGATCGAGCCCACGACCTCCTGTAGACCAGGCGAGGAGACGTTCAAGGGAGGCTCCTGCCACCTCTTTCCCGCACCTCCCATCGTCGCGGTTGGCCACGTGACGTCGCGAAAGAAGTGAAACACACGAACGAACCCGTTCGGTTCATGGAACCCCCCGGATTACGATTCGTGATTTATTTATTTTGGGGGGGCAGGAGGGGGGTCACATCGCCGCGTTCAGTGAAGTGTGTCGTCAACCCCTCCCTCCACCCGGCACAGCCCAATCGATGCAGACAATCGCCACCGGCGATGCTGGCCACGGCTCCCACGTTAGCACACTGCACCGGATGCTCACTTTAGGCCGAGTCAACCTAGGGGAGGAGTTGGTGGCCGTGAGCAGGGAATCCAACTCGGGCCCGCCCGGTTCGCAGCGCTGTGCGCTAACCGCTGCGCCACCGCTCCCCCAAATGTCACCTCCCGACACACGAATAGCTCACGTGTGGACCCGTAGAATCACACACGTGTGGACATACACACACGTGTGGACATACACACACGTGTGGACATACACACACGTGTGGACATACACACACGTGTGGACATACACACACGTGTGGACACGTGGACACGGGTGCGTGCGCGCTCGTGTTTATTTGTTTACAGTGCAAATTGAAGGCCTCGGTCAACAAACACTACCGCGTCACCCGTTCAGACAGTAGCCCTTTGAAAATTGCATTGTGGGAAGTTGTAAACATGGAAGCTACCGTAAGCTGGATGCTGATTGGTTGGCTGCCATCTCCCAGCAGCCCGTGCTGTCCCACAAACTCACACAGTGACCCATAGACTCACACAGAGACCCATAGACTCACACAGAGACCCACAGACTCACACAGAGAGCCACAGACTCACACAGAGAGCCACAGACTCACAGAGAGACCCATAGACTCACACAGAGACCCACAGACTCACACAGAGAGCCACAGACTCACAGAGAGACCCATAGACTCACACAGAGACCCACAGACTCACACAGAGACCCATAGACTCACACAGAGACCCATAGACTCACACAGAGACCCAAAGACTCACACAGAAACCCACAGACAGACCCACAGACTCACATTCCACCATCCACACGAGGGTTGCCACCTGTGCTGTCTGGCGCAGTTTTTCAGCGCCAGTTTCATTCAGAGTTCGGTGGGAGGGTGGGAGGGGGTGGGGTGGCGTGGGGGGTCAAGTCCCTGACGAGGTGGGGGGGGGGGTCACGGGCCCCCCCGGGGTGCGGCCGCTGCGGCTGCTGGAGGAAGGCGACGACCCGTGGGGGCAGGGGGAGGCGAGCCGCGAGGCCCGGGGCCCCCAGCTGGGAGCGCACCAGCCGGCGGCACAGCTGGGTCAGCGGCGCGGGAGCTGCGGGGGCACACAGGTAAAGGTCCCCCGTGTAGCCCACGCAGAGCTGCTGCTGCGGTGGGGGCAAGTGCTGTCGGAGGGCGACAGCCCCCCAGGATTCACCAACTCACCCCCCGTGCCACCTACCCCCCTTGCCCCCCCATGCCCCCCTCACATGCCCCCACCAACCCATGCCCCCATAGTTCACTCCCTCATCTCAGGGCCCCCTAAACTCTATCACTGCCCCCCCCCAATGCTCCCCCGTGACTGCCCCCACCCCCCGTGCCCCTCCCCCTCCCCCCCCCTTGCCCCCCCCCTCCCCCGTACCATCCCTGCTGCGTCTCAGCAGCGCCCCGTGCCCCTCCCCCCCCGTGCCCCCCCTCCTCCCCCCCCCGTGCCCCCCCTCCCCCCCCGTGCCCCCCCCACCCCCCCGTGGCCCCCCTCCCCCCCCCGTGCCCCCCCGTACCATCCCTGCTGCGTCTCAGCAGCACATCGTGCTCCAGGCTGCCGGGGGTCGCGAGGTCAAGCGGCCGCCTGCCCTCGGCGTCGCGAGCCTCAGGGTCCGCGCCGAACTCCAGCAGCAACGACACCAGGTCGTCGTCCGGGGGGCCCCCACTGGGGGGGGCCCGCGGGGGGGGGCCGGGCGGAGGGGGGGCCGCAGGCGGCGGTGTCGGAGCGGAGCGGGAGGCGGCGGAGTGGAGCGGGGTGCGCGCTCCGTCTCCCGCGTCCGGGTTCGCGCCTGGGGCGCGGGGCGAGGACCGCTCATCGTCATCGGCGGCAACAACAGCGACATCATCAGTAGCAGCAGCAGCAGTAGCAGCAGCAGCAGTAGCAGCAACATCATCAGTAGCAGCAGCAGCAGTAGCAGCATCAGCAGTAGCAGCAACATCATCAGCAGCAGCAGTAGCAGCATCAGCAGTAGCAGCGACATCATCAGTAGCAGCAGCAGCAGTAGCAGCAACATCATCAGTAGCAGCAGCAGCAGTAGCAGCATCAGCAGTAGCAGCAACATCATCAGCAGCAGCAGTAGCAGCAACAGCATCATCAGCAGTAGCAACAGCATCAGCAACATCAGCACCATCGTCATCATCAGCAACATCAGCAACATCAGCACCATCGTCATCATCAGCAGCATCACCCCCTGAGTCACCCCCCTGAGTCACCCCCCTGAATCACCCCCCTGAGTCACCCCCCTGAGTCACCCCCCTGAGTCACCCCCCTGAGTCACCCCCCCCCCCGTGAGTCACCCCCCGAGTGAGCCTCACCGGCCTGCAGGAGCTGCCTGGCACAGCCGAGCCTGCCGGCGTCACACGCCAGGAGTAGTGGGGGGCCGTGCCCCCCCTCGCTCGAGTTCACTTCCGCGCCGGCGCCCAGCAGCAGCGACACGCAGCCCTCGTGGCCTGGGTCACGGGGTCACGGGGTCACGGGTCAGGGGGTCAGGGACACAAGCAGAGGGACGTGGGACACGGGGACACGATGAGGGTCACATAGTGGGCTCAGCGTGGGGGTGACAGCCACGCTGCCTACCCCCCCCCCTCAACCCCGAGTCCACCCGTGACCCCGAGTTCACCCGTGACCCCGAGTTCACCCGTGACTCCGAGTCGACCCATGATCCGAGTCAGCCCGTGACCCCGAGTTCACCCGTGACTCCGAGTCGACCCATGATCCGAGTCAGCCCGTGACCCCGAGTTCTCCCATGACCCCGAGTCCACCCATGACCCCGAGTCAGCCCATGACCTCAAGTTCACCCATGACCCCGAGTTCACCCGTGACCCCGAGTCAGCCCGTGACCCCGAGTTCACCCGTGACCCCGAGTCGACCCATGATCCGAGTCAGCCCGTGACCCCGAGTTCACCCATGACCCCGAGTCCACCCATGACCCCGAGTCAGCCCGTGACCTCGAGTTCACCCGTGACCCCGAGTTCACCCGTGACCCCGAGTCAGCCCGTGACCCCGAGTTCACCCGTGACCCCGAGTCGACCCATGATCCGAGTCAGCCCGTGACCCCGAGTTCACCCATGACCCCGAGTCCACCCATGACCCCGAGTCAGCCCGTGACCTCGAGTTCACCCGTGACCCCGAGTTCACCCGTGACCCCGAGTCAGCCCGTGACCCCGAGTTCACCCGTGACCCCGAGTCGACCCATGATCCGAGTCAGCCCGTGACCCCGAGTTCACCCATGACCCCGAGTCCACCCATGACCCCGAGTCAGCCCGTGACCTCGAGTTCACCCGTGACCCCGAGTTCACCCGTGACCCCGAGTCGACCCATGATCCGAGTCAGCCCGTGACCCCGAGTTCACCCATGACCCCGAGTCCACCCATGACCCCGAGTCAGCCCGTGACCCCGAGTTCACCCATGACCCCGAGTCCACCCATGACCCCGAGTCAGCCCGTGACCTCGAGTTCACCCGTGACCCCGAGTTCACCCGTGACCCCGAGTCAGCCCGCGACTCACCGAGCTGAGCGGCGACATGCAGGGGTGAGAGTGAGGCGGGGTGGGGGGCCCTGGGGGAGGCCCCCCCCCCCCAGCAGCAGCTCCACGCAGGGGGGGCTCCCGGCGCGCGCGGCGCACAGCAGCGGCGTGGCGCCCTCCACGTCCACCACGTCCACCTGGCCCCCACCCACCACGCGGGGGGGGGGGGGGGGGCGGGGGGTGGACGTCATCGTTACCAGCGACTTCAGCAGGAGCAACAGCAGCGGCAGCGGCAGGGGATGAGTGTCTCGTGTGGGTGAGTGGGTGGGTGGCTGAGTGAGTGGGTGGATGAGTGAGTGGGTGGGTGAGTGATTGGGTGGGTGGATGGATGAGTGAGTGAGTGGGTGGATGAGTGAGAAGGTAATAAGTGAGTGGGTGCATGAGTGAATGAATGGGTAAGTGAGTGGGTGGGTGGATGGGTGAGAGGGTGAGTGGGTGGATGAGTGAGTGGGTGAGTGAGTGGGTGGATGGGTGAGAGAGCGAGTGGGTGGATGAGTGAGTGGGTGAGTGAGTGGGTGGATGGATGAGTGAGTAGGTAATAAGTGAGTGGGTGCATGAGTGAATGAATGGGTGAGTGAGTGGGTGGGTGAGAGGGCGAGTGGGTGGGTGAGTGAGTGAGTGAGTGGGTGGGTGGATGGGTGAGAGTGTGAATGGGTGGATGAGTGAGTGGGTGAGTGGGTGGATGAGTGAATGGATGGGTGAGTGGGTGTGTGGATGCGTGAGTGGGTGTGTGGATGAGTGAGTGGGTGTGTGAGTAGGTGATGAGTGAGTGAGTGATTGAGTGAATGAGTGAATGAATGGGTGAGTGAGTGGGTGGGTGAGAGGGTGGGTGGGTGAGTGAGTGGGTGCATGAGTGAATTAATGGGTGAGTGAGTGGGTGGGTGGGTGAGAGGGTGAGTGAGTTAGTGAGTGGTTGAGTGGGTGGATGAGTGAGTGGGTATGTTAGTAGGTGATGCGAGAGTGGGTGCATGAGTGAATGAATGGGTGAGTGAGTGGGTTGGTGAGTGAGTTAGCGAGTGGTTGAGTGGGTGGATGAGTGAGTGGGTATGTGAGTGGGTGCATGAGTGAATGAATGGGTGAGCGAGTGGGTGAGTTGGGTGGGTGACTGTCTGAATGAGTGAGTGAGTGGGCTGGTGGGTGGGTTAATAAGTGATGAGTGAGTGTGTTAGCGAACGAGTGAGCGAGCGGGCGGGCGTGTTGGTGAGTGAGTGGGGGTTGGGGGGTTATAGCCTGGTGGGGGGGGGGGGGGGGTTGAGAGCACTCACCCGGGCCCCCCCTTTGAGCAGCGCCTCCACGCAGCGAGCGTGGCCCCCCAGACACGCGGCGTGCAGCGGCTCCATCCCGCCACGCGTGCGCGCGTTCACGCTCGCCCCCTGCCACCAAAGACAAAGGGTCCCCACCGCCCCCAGGTAGCCTTAACAGGGCCGTCGGGGCAAGTGCTTGTTTGGAGCGAGCGGAGTGCGACACCAACGCTCACCAACGCCCACCAACGCTCACCACTACTCACCAGCACTCACCACCACTCACCACCCTAACCACCGCTCACCACCCTCACCACCACCACTCACCACCACTCACCACCACTCACCACCACTCACCACCACTCACCACCGCTCACCACCACTCACCAGCACTCACCTGCCCTCACCACCACTCACCACCACTCACCACCACTCACCACCGCTCACCACCCTCACCACCTGTGCTCACCACCATCGCTCACCTGTGCGAGGAGGTGGGTGAGGTTGAGGAGGTGTCCGTGCAGGGCAGCCTCGTGCAGAGGAGTGTAGTCCCAGAATGCACCTGCACACACACACACGTCATAGCCATCATCACCGCCACCACCGCCACCACCACCACCACCGCCACCACCACCGCCGCCACCACCACCGCTGACCACCACCACCGCCACCACCGCCACCACCACCGCCGCCGCCACCACCGCCACCACCACCACCACCGCCGCCGCCGCCACCGCCGCCGCCACCACCGCCGCCGCCACCACCACCGCTGACCACCACCGCCGCCACCACCGCCGCCACCACCGCCGCCACCACCACCACCGCTGACCACCGCCGCCGCCACCACCGCCGCCACCACATCCACCGCCACCACCACCACCGCCGCCACCACCGCCACCACCGCCACCACCGCCACCACCGCCGCCACCGCCACCGCAACCGCCACCACCGCCGCCACCGCCACCACCGCCACCACCGCCGCCACCGCCACCACCGCCACCACCGCCACCACCACCGCCACCGTCTGGCACGCAGTGGCGGTGACATCACCACAGCGCGTGGGCCAGGCCGGGTTCAACTTGAGTAAAAGTGTAAACACACAACAACAGCAACAAAGATAAAGATCCCCCGTATAGCCCGAACAGACTGTTGGGCAAGTGCCGTTAGTGAGCAGCACCCTACGAAGGTTCAAGCAATCCTGACACTGCTGATGAGACAGTGCAGTGTGGAAACCGGTGCAGAGTTTGTGGCTGTGTTGGAGAGATGGTTCAAGCAAGTCTGACACTGCTGATGAGACAGTGCAGTCACTCACCACACACTCACTCACCACACACTCACTCACCACACACACACACTACACACACACAGTCACCACACACTCACACCACACACTCACCACACACTCACCACACACACACCACACACACACTCACTCACCACAAACACACACTCACCACACACACACTCACACTCACCACACACACTCACTCACCACACACACACACTCACTCACCACACTCACCACACACACACTCACCACAAACACACACACACTCACCACACACACACTCACTCACGACACACACACTCACTCACCACACACGCACTCACCACACACTCACTGACAACACATACACACTCACCACACACTCACTACAATCACCACACACACACTTGCCACACACACACACTCGCCACACACACACACTCACCACACACTCACCTCACTCACACACTCACCACACTCGACACACTCAGCACGCACACTTGTACAACACACAGACGCACACTGTTACGTAACACACACACACGCTTACACGCTTTTTCAAACAGCCACACAGCTTAGACAAAGACACTCCCAACACACACACTCACCACACACACACACACTCACCACACACTCACCACACACACTCACCACACACACACTCACCACACACACTCACCACACACACTCACCACTCACCACACACACACGCACTCCCCACACACACTCACCACACACACACTCACTCACCACACACACTCACCACACACACTCACCACACACACTCACTCACCACACACACTCACCACACACACTCACCACACACACACGCACTCCCCACACACACTCACCACACACACTCACCACACACACACGCACTCCCCACACACACTCACCACACACACACTCACCACACACACTCACCACACACACACACTCACTCACCACACTCACTCACCACATACACTGTTATACAACACACACTCACCACACACACACTCACTCACCACATACACTCTCACTCACCACATACACTGTTATACAACACACACTCACCACACACTCACCACACACACACTCACTCACCACACTCACTCACCACACACTCACCACACACACACTCACCACACACTCACCACACACCACACACACTCACTCACCACACACTCACCAGACACACACTCACTCACCACACACTCACCACACACACACTCACCACACACACACTCACTCACCACACACCACACACACTCACTCACCACACACTCACCAGACACACACTCACTCACCACACACTCACCACACACACACTCACTCACCACACACTCACCACACACTCACCAGACACTTTGGGAAAACAACTCCGTGCAAGGGTCACGTGGCAGAGACCGGTTTTGGTATTGAGCCTCGGGATATCTCACACGGTATCACATTGATCATGATTGTGGTGATGATGATGGTGATGATGATGATTGTGGTGATGATGATGGTGGTGACAATGATGATTGTGGTGATGATGATGGTGGTGACAATGATGATTGTGGTGATGATGATGATGGTGACAATGATGATTGTGGTGATGATGATGGTGGTGACAATGATGATTGTGGTGATGATGATGGTGGTGACAATGATGATTGTGGTGATGATGATGGTGGTGACAATGATGATTGTGGTGATGATGATGGTGGTGACAATGATGATTGTGGTGATGATGATGGTGGTGACAATGATGATTGTGTGATGATGATGGTGGTGACAATGATGATTGTGGTGATGATGATGGTGGTGACAATGATGATTGTGGTGATGATGATGGTGGTGACAATGATGATTGTGGTGATGATGATGGTGGTGACAATGATGATTGTGGTGATGATGATGGTGGTGACAATGATGATTGTGGTGATGATGATGGTGGTGACAATGATGATTGTGGTGGTGGTGGTGGTGATGATGGTAACAATGATGATGATTGTGGTGGTGGTGGTGGTGGTAATGATGATGGTGGTGGTGACAATGATGATTGTGGTGGTGGTGGTGATGATGATGGTAACAATGATGATGATTGTGGTGGTGGTGATGATGATGGTGGTGACAATGATGATTGTGGTGGTGATGATGATGATGATGCTAACAATGATGATGATTGTGGTGGTGGTGGTGATGATGATGGTGGTGACAATGATGATGATTGTGGTGGTGGTTGTGATGATGGTGGTGATGATGATGACAATGATGATTGTGGTGATGCTGATGGTGATGATGATGGTGGTGACGTTGATGATTGTTGTGGGTTGGTTGTGTTCTTACTCAAATCGCTGTCTCCCCATGGACTTTCTCCTGCCATAGCATCACCTGGGCACAGAGGTGAGCACACGCGTGTTAACTTGTGTGCGTGTGTGGTGAGTGTGGTGAGTGTGGCATGGTGGTGAGTGTGGCGGGGTGGTGAGTGTGGTGAGTGTGGCATGATGGTGAGTGTGTGGGTGTGTGGGTGTGGTGAGTGTGGTGAGTGTGGCATGGTGGTGAGTGTGTGGGTGTGGTGAGTGTGGTGAGTGTGTGAGTGTGTGAGTGTGGTGAGTGTGTGGGTGTGGTGAGTGTGGTGAGTGTGTGGGTGTGGTGAGTGTGGTGAGTGTGTGGTGAGTGTGGTGAGTGTGTGGGTGTGGTGAGTGTGGTGGGTGTGGTGAGTGTGGTGGGTGTGGTGAGTGTGGTTAGTGTGTGAGTGTGGTGAGTGTGGTGAGTGTGGCGGGGTGGTGAGTGTGTGGGTGTGGTGAGTGTGGTGGGTGTGGTGGGTGTGGTGAGTGTGGTGAGTGTGTGGGTGTGGTGAGTGTGGTGAGTATGTGGGTGTGGTGAGTGTGGTGAGTATGTGGGTGTGGTGAGTGTGGTGAGTGTGTGGGTGTGGTGAGTGTGGTGAGTGTGTGGGGGTGGTGAGTGTGTGGGTGTGGTGAGTGTGGTGGGTGTGGTGAGTGTGGTGAGTGTGTGAGTGTGGTGAGTGTGTGGGTGTGGTGAGTGTGTGGGTGTGGAAAGTGTCTGGTAAGTGTGGTGAGTGTGTGGGTGTGGTGAGTGTGTGGGTGTGGTGAGTGTGTGGGTGTGGAAAGTGTCTGGTAAGTGTGGCGAGTGTGTGGGTGTGGTGAGTGTGTGGGTGTGGTGAGTGTGTGGGTGTGGAAAGTGTCTGGTAAGTGTGGTGAGTGTGTAGGTGTGGTGAGTGTGGTGAGTGTGGTGAGTATGTGGATGTGGTGAGTGTGGTGAGTGTGTGGTGAGTGTGGTGAGTGTGGCGAGTGTGTTGGGAGGCGGCGTGGTGAGAGAGTCTGTGAGTGAAAGGGTCTGTGTGAGTGTCTGTGTGTGAGTGAGTCTCTGTGTGTGTGTCTCTGTGTGAGTGTCTGTGTGTGAGTCTCCGTGTGTGTTTCTCTCTGTGTGAGTGTCTGTGTCTGAGTGTCTGTGTGTGAGTCTCTGTATGTAAGTGTCTCTGTGTGTGTCTCTCTCTGTGTGAGTGTCTCTGTGTGAGTGTCTGTGTGTGTCTCTCTCTCTCTGTGAGTGTCTGTGTGTGTGTCTCTCTGTGTGAGTGTCTCTGTGTGAGTGTCTGTGTGTCTCTCTCTGTGTGAGTGTCTCTGTGTGAGTGTCTGTGTGTGTCTCTCTCTGTGTGAGTGTCTCTGTGTGAGTGTGTGTGTGTATAAGTATCTACCTGAGTATGTCTGTGTGTGAACTACATCAGTTTTGCTGCTCAGCCACTCCCCGTGCCTCCACTCCCGTGTCCTCTCTCCCCCTACTCCCTCCCCCTCTCCCCCTACTCCCTCCCCCTCCCTCCCCCTCTCTCCCCTCCTACTCCCTCCCTCTCCCTCCCTCCCCCTCTCCCTTCTCCATCACCACCGCTAGAGGGCGCTCCGAGCCCAGGGTTCAGTGAGGACTCAGTCAACTCGTGCCATTATTTCAGCGCCCAGGGCGACTGAATTCTTGATGAGTATTTTTATTAAATCCTTTATATTAAGTTCGCTTGCTTGCTTAGGACCGTGCAAATCTTTCGGTCGTTTTTTAACCCACTTCCCGTGATCCAATCGAGCTGCCATTTTGCACACAGACTCGTTGTGCGAGACAATTAATGTTCGTGAAAAAAAATTCCTAAATTTTACACCGTTTAGGGAAAACAAATTAAATATTTAATTACCAATTGTTTAATACTGCAGACAATCATCTGACCCATAGGTGGCAGCCATCTCAAGCCAGAGGACGAGAGGACTCTAGCCGCCACGCATATAAAGGATTTAGAGTGAAAAACTTTGTTTTTACGGGTTAATTTTTTGTGATTATTGAAGTGGAACGGGGGGGGGGGGGGGTTTGTGTGGAACTCATAAACGGCGACTGTTCGCACAGCCAACTCAGAATCGGTATTAACCCTCCGCAAACGTCTCCAGCAAAATGTTCTTGTGTCTTTCGGTAAAGTCACGTAGAAAAGCAATCGTCATCAGGAGGGGGAAAAAACTGAGTGAGAAAGCTGAGAATAGTTTTTTTTTACCCATTTTTCGTCAACAAAACTGAAACCTTTTACGAGTAATCACGTCTGCATTGACCACACTGCTTGTGGTCAGAATGCAAACAAAAAAACACACTGATAAGAAATGCATTGTCTTTGAAGCTGATTGGTCCACACCAGAGACAGCTTTCTTTTGAGCCTCGTCTCAAAACGGTGTTAGACCCACAGGTCCGTCCTTGGGGGGGGGGGGGTGGGGGGGGTGCTGAGGACAAATTCCACCGCGACATCGAATCCCCCCCCCACCGCCTCCCCCCAACTCGTGGGGCGCGGGGCAGTCGCCCCGATTCGCTGCTGTACCCCCGAGGGACCGGCTCTGGCGACTGGACGTGAAACCCAGGGGGCTTGGGACCGAGAGGACCTGGGGCCTTGGGGAACCATGGACACACGTAGAGGTACGTGGAGACTCAGAGATACACAGCGACTCAAAGAGACACACAGAGATACACAGAGACTCATAGAGTCTCATAGAGATACATGGAGACCCATAGACACTGGTAGAGGTACGTGGAGACTCAGAGATACACAGAGACTCATCGATATCCACAGAGATACATGGAGACCGATATACACTCGTAGAGATACACAGAGACTCATAGGAGATACACAGAGATACACGTAGACCCATAGACACTCATAGATATACGTGGAGACTCAGAGATACAGAGACTCATAGAGATACACAGAGACTCATAGAGTCTCATAGAGATCCACAGAGACCTATAGAAACTCAGAGGCACGTGAAGAATCAAAGATACACAGAGACTCACAGAGTCCCATAGAGATCCACAGAGATCCATAGACACTCATAGAGATACGTGGAGACTCAGAAATACACAGAGACTCATAGAGATCCACAGAGATTCGGAGACCCACGAAACTCAGAGATACGTGGAGACCCATAGACACTCATAGAGATACGTGGAGACTCAGAGATACACAGAGACTCATAGAGATAGAGACCCATAGACACTCATAGAAATACGTGGAGAGATGCACAAAGATGCACAGAGTCTCATAGAGACTCACAGAGATCCACAGAGATCCATAGACACTCGAGATGCGTGGAAACTCAGAGATACTCAGAGAGTCTCATAGAGATCCACAGAGATAAACAGAGACCCATAGAAACTCAGAGGCACATGAAGAATCAAAGATGCACAGAGACTCACATAGTCCCATAGAGATCCACAGAGACCCATATACACTCATAGAGATACGTGGGAACTCAGAGATACACAGAGACTCAGAGAGATACAGAGGCCCATAGACACTCATAGAAATACGTGGAGAGATGCACAAAGATGCACAGTGTCTCATAGAGACTCACAGAGATCCACAGAGATCCATAGACACTCAGAGGCGCGTGAAAAATCAAAGGTACAGAGACTCACAGAGTCTCATAGAGATCCACAGAGATCCATAGACACTCATAGAGATACGTGGAAACTCAGAGATACACAGAGACTCATAGAGTCTTATAGAGATCCACAGAGATAAACAAAGACCCATAAAAACTCAGAGGCACGTGAAGAATCAAATATACACAGAGACTCATAGAGTCTCATAGAGATCCACAGAGATCCATAGACACTCATAGAGATACGTGAAGACCCATAGACACTCATAGAGATACGTGGAGACTCAGAGATACACAGAGACTCATAGAGTCTCATAGAGATCCACAGAGATCCATAGACACTCATAGAGATACGTGAAGACCCATAGACACTCATAGAGATACGTGGAGACTCAGAGATACACAGAGACTCACAGAGTCTCATAGAGATCCACAGAGACCCATAGACACTCGAGATGCGTGGAAACTCAGAGATACACAGAGACTCATAGAGTCTCATAAAAATCCACAGAGATCCATAGACACTCGAGATGCGTGGAAACTCAGAGATACACAGAGACTCATTGAGTCCCATAGAGATCCACAGAGACCCATAGACACTCATACAGATACGTGGAGACTCATGGAGACCCATAGACACTGATAGAGATACGTGGATACTCAGAGATACACAGAGACTCACAGAGTCCCACAGAGATCCACAGAGAAACGGAGGCAGCTGCAGTCAAGGCACTGTACCTGCAACCTGCCCTCCTCGACGGAGGAGGAACAGTCGCGTTGATTACCCCCCTAGCCCCTCCCCCCTCGCCCTCACCTGTCCGCACAGGTGTGGCGGCTCAAGGTAAATCAGGAAACTCAGGTGAGGTCACGCACTGTAAAAGCAGCAGCATCAGCATCATCAGCGGCAGCATCAGCATCATCAGCAGCAGCAGCATCAGCATCATCATCAGCAGCAGCATCAGCAGCAGCATCAGTGTCTGGATTGTCCAGGTGATTGGTGCGGTGGGAGGAGTGGAGGTGGTGGTGGCGGTGGGGGGGTGATGTTTGTTTTGGTTGACAAGCTGGCGAAGCGGGTTTGTGAGTACGAGTGGTGTGAGAGTGCGAGTGTGTGTGCGTGTCAGTGTGTGTGTGTCAGTGTGTCAGTGTGTGTCAGTGTGTCAGTGTGTGTGTGTCAGTGTGTGTGTCATGAGTGTGTGTGCGTGTGACAATCAGTGTGTGCGTGTGTCAATGAGTGTGTGTGCGGGTGTTAATCAGCGTGTGTGTGAATGAGCGTGTCTGTCAATAAGTGTGTGTGCGTATGTCAATGAGTGTGTGTGAATGAGTGTGTGTATCAATGAATGTGTGTGTTTGCATCAGTGTGTGTGAGTGTGCGTGTGTCAGTGAGTGTGTGTGTGAATGAGTATGTGTGAGTGCCAATGAGTGTGCGTGTGTGTCAATCAGTGCGTGTGTGAATGAGTGTGTGTGAGTGCCAATGAGTGTGCGCGTGTGTCGGTGAGTGTGTGTGTGAATGAGTATGTGTGAGTGCCAATGAGTGTGCGTGTGTGTCAATCAGTGCGTGTATGAATGAGCATGTGTGAGTGCCAATGAGTGTGCGTGTGTGTCGGTGAGTGTGTGTGAATGAGTATGTGTGAGTGCCAATGAGTGTGCGTGTGTGTCAGTGAGTGTGTGTGCGTGCATATGTGCCGTGCCGGCTTTTATAGGTGCTCGCTAACAGCACTTGCCCCAGCAGTCTGTTAAGGCTACACGGGGGATCTTTGTCTTTGTGCGTTAGTCAGTGGGTGTGAATCTGTGTGTCAACGTGTCAACGTGTGTCCATCAGTGTGCGTCAGTGTGTGGGGAGCGGTAGTATATGAACCGGTCGTGGGCCTCCCCTAGGTCGACTCAGCCTCAAATTAGTACCTGGTGCTGCTCGCTAACAGCACTTGCCCCAACCTTGCGTTGAAGCTATACGGGGAGTCTTTGTCTTTGCAGGGGTTCAGCGTTGCACTGCGATCATTCCTTCACGCTTTGCAACAATTATTCATTCAATTCCCGTCGTTCTTGAACTCATGAATTCATTCACACGCGAATGCTCTTCTCGGTTTTAAATTCATTCGCTCAGGGCTTTCATTCATTCATTCACTCGCACGCGCATTAAACTATTAATTCCTTTATTTACTGACTCGTTCATTGTTTCATTCATTCACTCCCTCATTCATTCACCCATTCATTCGCTCAGGTTGTTAATTCACAAATTAATTAACTCGCTCATTATTTTATTCATTCACTCACTCATTTATTCGTCAAGTTGCTCAATCATTCACCCATTCATTCACTCGTTAAGTTGTTAATTCACTCATTGTTTCATTCATTCACTCCCTCATGCATTCGTCAAGTTGTTCATTCATTCACCCTTTCATTCCCTCATTAAGTTGTTCATTCAGATAATAAATTCACTCGTTCATCAAAGTCGTTTGTTCATTCTCTTCTTCATTCATCCTCAGCGCCCCCCCCCAGCCCGCATGGAGCGGCACTTTGAAGACCCCTCAGCGGGACCCCCTTGGGAGGGGGGCCCGTGGGACGGGGGCCCCGAGGGGCTCTGGGGGACCCCGGGGCACGATGAGGAGGGCGAGGATGAGGCGGTGGTGCTCAGCGCGCACCTGGAGAGGGTCAACTCCCGGTGAGTGGGGGTCCCAGGCCCCTGGGTCACATGATCCTTGAGTCCCAGGTACCTTGTTCCCAGGCTCCCTGGGTCCCAGGTTCCCTGGGTTCCAGACTACCTGGGTCCCACCAAGCCACAACCGACAAACCACAACCACCAAGCCACAACCACCAAAACACAACCACCAAAACACAACCACCAAACCACAACCACCAAACCACAACCGCCAAACCACAACCGCCAAACTACAACCACCAAACCACAACCACCAAACCACAACCGCCAAACCACCAAACCACAACCACCAACCCACAACCACCAACCCACAACCAAACCACAACCGCCAGGCCCAGCGTGTTCACCCTTCCCCGAGCGAGCGAGCGAGCGAAGGTCAAAGATAACGCAGCCACTACAATCACAGACACGACGTAGATAACGCAGCCACGACAATGCCCCCTCCCCCCGCTGCCCCTTAACCCCCACCCCTCCCCCGCTGCCCCCTGCTGCCCCCCCCAGATTCTCAGAGCTCCAGGAGGGGGTGCGAGAGGCGGCGTTGGGGACTCGTCGTGCCGAGGAGGCTCGGGACCGCGCTCGCTCCTCGCTCGCAGCGAGCAAGGAGCGAGCGCTCCGAGCGGTGGCGCAGCGGTGGGGAGAGCTCGGGGAGAAGGTCGAGGAGGAGCACGCCCGGGTCCAGCGGGTCAGAGGCCAGCACGAACATCGTCGTCATCACTATCATCATCACCATCATCGCCACCAACATCGTCATCATAATCGTCATCGTCATCATAATCGTCGTTCGCATCATCATAGCCATCACTATCATCATCACCATCATCACCATCATCACCATAATAATCGTCATCATAATCGTCATCATCATAGCCATCACTATCATCATCACCATCATCACCATCATAATCGTCATCATAATCGTCATCATCATAGCCATCACTATCATCATCACCATCATCACCATCATAATCGTCATCATAATCGTCATCATCATAGCCATCACTATCATCATCACCATCATAATCGTCATCATAATCGTCATCATCATAGCCATCACTATCATCATCACCATCATCACCATCATCATCAGAAGGACGGCGACGCTTGGGATCCAGGGTCCTGTCCTCAGCGCAGGTCTTTGGTCTTCATCTTGGAGGTGACTGCCCCTATCGTTCAGAGGTCCGACTTCTACACAGGCCCGGGGCTTGCTCTGCCCCGGCCACGCCTTCCTTCCAGAACCTTCCACAGGGTCCTGGAAGGGTGACGTCACCCCCCAGTGCCCCCTCCCGGGGTTTGGGGATTGTGTCCCAGGATCCGTGATCTCAGAGATCACCGGTGGCCCCTTTGACCAAAGCCCCTGAACATCGGCGCAGCCACTCTGCTGCTGCCGCCCCCTGTAGCCCCCTGTAGTGATGCTACCCGCTGACAACATGGGGAGTCATCTTCTTGGTTCTTTCGGTAAAGTCACGCTGTCTCCCCGACAGACCTGGTCTTCACCTGAGGACGGCTGCTTGCGTTGTGGCCGAAACGTCGTGAGAATTATCTTATTATGTTTTATTTCTATTATTGTATTACTTCCCTTCTACGTGACTTTACCGAAAGAACCAAGAAGATGAATCCCTGCAGTCACGAAAGAAGCTTTACATCGAAACATGGGGAGTGCGGAATAACACCTCCACGCAAATACATGGCACCCCCCCCGTGCCCCCCACTTACCCCCCCCCCCGTGCCCCCCACCTTCCCCACCCCCCGTGCCCCCCACCTACCTCCCCCCCCCGTGCCCCCCACCTCCCCCCCCCGTGCCCCCCACCTTCCTCCCCCGTGCCCCCCACCTCCCCCCCATGCCCCCTACCTTCCCCCCCCCGTGCCCCCCACCTCCCCCCCGTGCCCCCCACTTCCCCCCCCTTGCCCCCCCCGTGCCCCCCACCTCCCCCCCCGTGCCCCCACCTCCCCCCCCCGTGCCCCCCACCGTGCCCCTCACCTCCCCCCCCGTGCCCCCCCCCGTGCCTCTCACCTCCCCCCCCCGTGCCCCACTCCCCACGCAGGCCCTGCAGGAGGAGATGGCGCGTCTGTCCCTCGCGCTGGAGTCTCTGCAAGTGAGCTCCGTGCCTGCCTCTCGACACGGAGCAGCCGGGATCCCCTCGGAGCCGGAGAGCCCCCCAGCGGGGTCCCCGGGGTCCCGGGGGTCCGGGGGGTCCCGGCCCCACGCCGAGACCCTAGACTGGAGCCACCTGGACATGGGTCCCCTCCTCGAAGCGATCGCCGCGTTTGGGCCCAGCGCGCTGGAGGAGAGGGGTCGTCCCGCGATGAGGGGGCCGCTGAAGACCCCCAGAGGTGACGGGGGTCCTAGTGGGGGGGGGAGGGGGGGGTCAAGGGAGGGGTAACCCGGGGGATCACGTGGCTAAGGAGGGGGGGGGGGAGTGCAGGTCACGCCGGACTGACGGGGCAGTTGCACCGCCTGCGCACCGCGCCACGAATTCCTTCCCCAACTTTGTCCCTCGCCGTTGTTTGTTGTCGGATGTCTCAGCGCCCCCGGAGGGGACCCCCCGCATCGGGCCCCCCCCTCCCCGCGGAAGGCCGGGGCCTGCCCCGTCCCACTCGACCCCCAAGAAGGCCGCCGCGTCACCGAGGGGGGCTCGCAGCCTCCCCAGGAGCGGGGCTCGGGACCCCTCCCGGGACCCCCCTCGGGACCCCCCTCGGGACCCCCCTCGGGACCCCCCCCGGGACCCCTCTCCGTGCACGCGGGCGCCCAAGTCCCCGCGGCCGAGGGCCCTGACCCCAGCGGGCCGAGTCCGGGTCGCGGGGACGACTCCGCACGCGGCGGCGAGGAGGGATCGAGACGACCACCACCACCAGCACAACCAGCACCACCAGCACCACCAGCACAACCAGCAACAGCAGCAGCAGCAACAGCAGCAGCAGCAACAGCAGCAGCGGGATGAGGAGGAGGCAGATGAGGATGGACTCCTCTTCCAGTTTGGTGAGTGGGTGGGGACACGGGGGGTGGACACACGGGGACACACGGACACGGGCATATAAAGACGTTAAAGCTACCAACATTGTGTGAGGCTCCACATGAACACACACTCACCCCTCCCTCTACCCGGCACCCAGGTAGCCCCGCCCACTACTCGGCTAGCCCCGCCCACTACCCGGCTAGCCCTGCCCTCTACCCGGCTAGCCCCGCCCTCTACCCGGCTAGCCCCGCCCACTACCCGGCTAGCCCCGCCCTCTACCCGGCTAGCCCCGCCCACTACCCGGCTAGCCCCGCCCTCTACCCGGCTAGCCCCGCCCACTACATGAGTGTGCGGCAGGTGTCGCGTGCGCTGGGGTAAAGCTGGTGGCTACTCCCACCTCTCACACCAGAAGTGTCTGGCCAGGGTGGAAGAGTAGACCAAATACACCTGGAGAGGGAGGGGGGTGGGGGCAAGGGGGGGGGCTGAGGTGGGCGAGCGGGGGGGGCTCTCTCCCTGGAGCTCCCCCTCCCTTATGCCGCCTCCAGCAGACACACAGAATCAGACACACAGAATCAGAGACACAGAATCAGACACACAGAATCAGACACACAGAATCAGACACACAGAATCAGACACACAGAATCAGACACACAGAATCAGACACACAGAATCAGACACACAGAATCAGACACACAGAATCAGACACACAGAATCAGACACACAGAATCAGACACACACTCACAGAATCAGACACACAGACACACAGAATCAGACACACAGAATCAGACACACAGAATCAGACACACAGAATCAGACACACAGAATCAGACACACAGAATCAGAGACACAGAATCAGACACACAGAATCAGACACACAGAATCAGACACACAGAATCAGACACACAGAATCAGACACATAGAATCAGACACACAGAATCAGACACACAGAATCAGACACACAGAATCAGACACACAGAATCAGACACACAGAATCAGACACACAGACTCACAGACACACAGACACACAGACACACACACACACAGACACACAGAATCACAGACACACAGAATCACAGACACACAGACACACAGACACACACACACACAGACACACAGACACACAGAATCACAGACTCACAGACACACAGACACACAGACTCACAGACATACAGACACACACACACACAGACACACAGACTCACAGACACACACACACACAGACACACAGAATCACAGACACACAGAATCACAGACACACAGACACACAGAATCACAGACACACAGAATCACAGACACACAGACACACAGACACACACACACACAGACACACAGACACACACACACACAGACTCACAGACATACAGACACACACACACAGACACACAGACTCACAGACACACAGACACACAGAATCACAGACTCACAGACACACAGACACACAGACACACAGAATCACAGACTCACAGACACACAGACACACACACACACAGACACACAGACACACAGACTCACAGACACACAGACACACACACACACAGACACACAGACTCACAGACACACAGACACACACACACACACAGACACACAGAATCACAGACTCACAGACACACAGACACACAGACACACAGAATCACAGACTCACAGACACACAGACACACACACACACAGACACACAGACTCACAGACACACAGACACACACACACACAGACACACAGACTCACAGACACACAGACACACAGACACACACACACACAGACACACAGACTCACAGACACACAACACACACACAGACACACAGACTCACAGACACACAGACACACACACACACAGACACACAGACTCACAGACACACAGACACACACACACACAGACACACACACACAGACACACACACACAGAATCACACACACAGACACACAAAATCGTGGCGAGGTGTTAACCTAACACTGCCCCCCCACCCTCCGCACCGCGTGTGACCCCCGCAGGCAGCCAGGGTCGAGGCATGGGGGAGTTCATGAACCTGCAGGGGGTCGCCGTGACCCCCTCTGGCAGGATCGTCACGGCCGACAGCGGCAAGCACGCCGTGCAGGTGCGGGGAGGGGGGGGGGGTCCCCTGGCCCAGATCCCCTCGACTGGGGTCCCCTTCACCCGGGCCTCCACTCTCCAAGCGGGTCCCCCCATCCGGGGGTCGTCTTCCTTGTGTACCCCCTCTCCACGGGGTCCCCTCTCCTGAATCCCTCCAGCGGGTCCCCTTCACCAGGGTCCCCTTCACCAGGACCCCCTTCACGCCTCCATCTCTCAACGTCTCCCCAACTCTCTCCCCCCTCTTCCCTAACTCTCCCCTCCCTCCCGTCCCTCTTTCTCCCCCACTCCCCCCGCACCCTCTCCCCCCCACTCCCCCCACCCTCTCCCCCCCACTCCCCCCACCCTCTCCCCCCCCACTGCCCCCCCCACTCCCCCCACTACCCCCCCCCCCACCCACTCCCCCCACCCTCCTCCCCCCCACTGCCCCCCATCCTCTCCCCCCCACTCCCCCCACCCTCTCCCCCCCCACTCCCCCACCCCTCCCCCCCACCCTCTACCCCCCACTGCCCCCCCCTCCCCCCACACTCCCCCCCACCCTCTCCCCCACCACCCCCCCACCCTCTCCCCCCCCACTCCCCCCCCACCCTCTCCCACCCACTCCCCCCACCATGTCCCCCCCACTCCCCCCACTGCTCCCCCACCCTGTCCCCCCCACTCCCCCCCCCCACTCCCCCCCACCCTCTCCCCCCCACTGCCCCCCCCTCCCCCCACAAGGTCTTCCTCAGCACGGGCGAGTTCCTCACCCAGTTCGGGGTCAGGGGTCGCGACCCGGGCCAGTTGGTCCACCCCTCGGGGGTGGCGGTGCGAGCCAACGGGGACCTGCTCGTCGCCGACCCCGAGACCAGGTCCATCAACGTCTACGCACCCGACGGCCGCCACCGGGTAGGTCCAGCGGGGGGGCCCCCCACCCCCTCCTCCACCAACACCCCCCCCCCCCCCCACATCCTCCCCCCACAACATTGTCCACCCATCGACGTCACCCTACGCGTCATGCCCCCCCCCCCCCCCCCCGTATGCCACGCTCACGTAGGGACACCTCATCCCCCACGTGTCATAACCCCCCCCCCCCTCTTGTTCCCTCGAGTCCCCTTGCCGCTGTGGCCACGTGTCCCCCCTTAGACCCCCTTAGACCCCCTTGACCCCCTTAGACCCCCTTAGAACCCCTTAGACCCCCTTAGACCCCCTTAGAACCCCTTAGACCCCCTTAGACCCCCTTAGAACCCCTTAGAACCCCTTAGACCCCCTTAGACCCCCGAGGTATTGCGAAACTCCATGCCTCATTCTCACGCTGTCCCCCCGTGTGTGTCTATGAACTTGACCTGCCTCACGTGTGTGTCCCCCATGTGCCCCCCTTGACCCCTCCGTATTCCCCCCACCCCCGGATGGCCCCCCCTCCCCCTCCATGTGCCCCCCCTCCCCCCATGTGCCCCTTCCCCCCCATGTTCCCCTGTGTGCCCCCCCCTCCCCCCCATGTGCCCCCCCCGTCCCTTCCGTATTCCCCCCACCCTCGAATGGCCCCCTCCCCCCCCCCCACGTGCTCCCCCCCATGTGCCCCCCATGTATCCCCTTCCCCCGTGCCCCCCCTCCCCCCCCGCCGCCACGTGTACTCCCCTACCCCCCTGCCCCCCACGTGCTCCCCCCCAATGTGCCCCCTTCCCTCGTGCCCCCCCCTACCCCCCCTGCCCCCCTGTAGTTGCAGCTGGGCGTGGGCCTGCTTCAGGCCCCACGCGGCATCTGCACCACCGACTCGGGCCTGGCGCTGGTGGCCGACAACAAAGCCTGCGCCGTGGTGGCACTGACGGCCGCCGGGAGGGTGCACGCCAAGTTCGGGGGTCGCGCCGCAGACCTGGGCCGCCTCCGGGGTCAGCAGGGGTCGCGGAGAGGGGGTCGGGATGGGGGTCCCCAGGGGTCCGTTGTTCAAAAGAGGCCTCTTGCACCGTTGGAAATTTTGCAATCGGTGCATGACCAGTTCACCGCAGCATTAACCGCAATTTAAAAAAAAACAGCAAACAAACATAGACTCCCACAGAGACCCATAGACTTACACAGAGACTCGTAGACTCACACAGAGACTCAGAGACTCGCACAAAGATCCATAGACTCACACAGAGACTCATAGACTCGCACAGAGACCCATAGACTTACACAGAGACTCGTAGACTCACACAGAGACTCGTAGACTCACACAAAGACCCATACACTCACACAGAGACTCATAGACTCGCACAGAGACCCATAGACTTACACAGAGACTCGTAGACTCACACAGAGACTCATAGACTCGCACAGAGACCCATAGACTCGCACAGAGCCCCATTAACTCGCACAGAGACCCATAAACACACACAGAGACCCATAGTCTCACAGCAGCACTGGGGAGACAAAGGCGGCCGGGCGTGGTGCTGGCCACCCACCCCGCCGTGCGCCGTGCCGGCCTTCATAGTTCCTGCTCCACGCTACTCACAGCACTTGCCCCAACAGGCTGCGTGGGCTACACGGGGGACCTTTATCCGTGTGTCTGTGCCGATGTCTACCGCCCCCCCCCCCCCCCCCCCCAGGGCCGAACTACGTGGCGCTCAACAGCAAGGGCGACGTCATCGTTTCCGACTTCCTCGACCATTCCGTGAAGGTCGTGACCCAATGACCCCCGCGAACCCGTGACCCCGTTTCACCCCCAGTACCCTGCACACCACATCCAGTATCCCACCAATAACTATCAAACATCCACGATCTCCTCCCATAACCAGCCCCACCCCACCGTGACCTGTTGACCCCCGTGACCTTTTGACCCCCCTCCCCCAGGTGTTCTCTGGGGGGGAGTTTCTGTTCCAGTTTGGGGGCTTCGGGAGTGCGGAGGGGCAGCTGCACGGGCCCACGGGCGTCGCCGTCGACCCGGCAGACAACATCCTCGTGGCCGACTGGGGCAACGCCCGCATACAGGTGCCCCCTGACCCCCTGACCCCCTGACCCCCCCCCCCCCCACCCCACCCCACTTGATCCCATCTTGATAACCACTACGATCGCTCCCGGCGCAAAAACTTGATCTCACCTTGATACCCCCTCGCCACCTCCCCATGCTTCCACGTTGACCTCCCTTGATTCCATCATGAGCCCCCCTCGATCCCCCCTCCATCCCAAACCGATTCCACACTAATCCCTCCTGACACTATAAAAGCTCCATGATTCCCGATTCACATTGAGACCAACTTCACCAATCCCCCCTCTGATCCCCTCTCCTTGATCCCACATTGATCCCACATTGATCCCACATTGATCCATCGGATCTCGATTCCTCCTTGACCCCCCCCCCACCCCGCCCCCCTTCCTCCCCCAGGTGTTTAACTGCGTGGGGGCCTTCAAGGGAGTGCTGGCCCCCTCTGTGCACCCCCTCAGCTGCCCCCAGGGCCTGGCGCTCAGCCCTGAGGGCACGAGGCTCGTGGTGGCAGACACGGGCAACCACTGCTGTAAAGTCTACAGCTACCACCAGCACTGAGGGCTCACGCACCACTGCTCGCCACCACGGAGTACTCACCACCACTCACCACCACTCGCCACCACTCACCACCGCTCACCACCACTCGCCACCACTCGCCACCACTCACCATTCGCCACCACTCGCCACCACTCACCACCACTCACCACTCGCCACCACTCACCACCACTCACCACCACTCACCACCACTCACCACCACACGTGATAACCTCACAAGAACGTCTTTTGCCGTCCGGCACTCGGCAATGAAGACATTCGCAAAAAAAATAGCCACGAGGATGGTGACGTTGCCGCGTGGTGACGTCACTGCGCTGTGACGTCACGGTATTGTGACGTCACGGCCATCAGTCAGCAACGACACACGGGGCTCCCGTGGGACCGCTGCCAATCGCCGGCCGTGTGTGCGGACGCGACGCAGGCAGCGTTGACTGCTGATCGCGTCACGTGGGACGTGTTTGTTTGACAATCATCAGGCGCGTGCGGCGTGCAACGAGTTCGTTTTGCATGGGGAGGGGTAAATTGGTGAAGGCGGTGGTGGGTGGCGCGGACGGACCGGAGTTTGGGGAAACCTTCGCCACAGCCGCTCGCGATGAGTTACAATTACGAATTGTTTTCGTATGTTTCATAATAAAGGTTTTTGGGGTGAGATTGCGTTATTTATAAATGTGTCGCACCCCTCCACCACCCGACACGGCCAATCAGTAAAAAAAGTGTCGCGTTGACAAAAGACAAAATAGTTCACAGCTTTAGCCCACCGGTGTGTTGAAGAGTGGATCCACAACATTTACAATGTTTTTTTAGTACTGTGACGTTTCGCTGGTAATTACATCCAGCATCATCGGGCAATTTGCCAGAATAGCGACACATTTTTTATTGATTGGCCATGTCGGGTGGTGGAGGGTTGCGACACATTTATAAATAACGCGATCTAACCCAAAAAACTTCACTATGGATAATATTGGTCGCGAAAGCCTATGTGTTAAACTGTGTTCGTATTTTATACATTTTAATTCAATATCAGACACTCCTCACTTTGTGCACTCGATGCCATCAGTTTAATAACAGGAAATATAATAATCGTCGAGATTAATGTGCGAGCACGAACGCCGAACGTTTGCAACTCTTTTATAACCGACGCGCGAGCGACGTCGACCACGCCGACGGACAAAATGGCGGCACTTCCTGTGATGTCATCCGCGCAATGGCGGCACTTCCCGTCATGTGACTCGCGCGACGGAGGCACTTGCCGTGGTGGAGACGTCACTTCCCGTGGCAGTGACGTCACTTGCCGCGGCGGTGACGTCGCTTGCCGCGGCTGTGACGTCACTTCCCGTGGCTGTGACGTCACTTCCCGTGGCTGTGACGTCACTTCCTGCGGCGTCATACTTTCGGATTAATTCGGAAATTCGGGAACGCACCCCCCCGCTTCGAAGGTGGGCGCACCTCGTTGCTAGGTAACGCAGTCTAGAGCACTGCTTATGTTGCGTCTATGCAATATTAAACACCTTACCTAGAGCGAGGTGTACACACACGCACACATACAGACGTGCGTGTGTGTGCGCATGTAAATACAAAGTTTCCCCCCCCGCCGTGTAGAGTTTTAACAGGCAAGTGCTGTTGGTGAGCACCTATTAAGGCCGGCACGCCACTCCTACTGGTCACCTGCGACGAGGAGCTCAGCAGCTCATCAGATTCCTGCAGTCTCAATAAATAGTCTGAAATCGAGATTCTGGGCGTGGGCAACACTACGCACTCCCGGCCAGTGCTGATGTTGTGTACGCATGGAAGCGGGCACTCATTTAAGGCTGAGTCGACTTAAGCGAGCCCCGTGTCGATCACAATACGTGACGATTGCGCGGCGGTTAGCGCCACGCTGCGCTACGAACCCAGCGACTGGGGGATCGACTCCCGCTCACGGCCAACACCAACACCAGTAAACGATGATCTGAAGCGGGCCCAGGTCTCCCCCTAGGTCAACTCAGCCTTAATTGAGTAGAAAACAAATCCATTACCCCACCACCCACCGTCTCGTGCGCCGTGCCGACCTTCACAGCTGATTCTCGCCTCCAGCGCCCGTCCCAGCAGTCTGCTGAAGCTACATTGGGGGGCACCGTTTTCTTCTTTTGTATAAATACGAGCAGATTCAGTCTCTAAGCGCTACACTGCACGCTGCAACAACACTGAGCTCAGATGGGGGAGGGGGGGCTTCGGGGGGAGGTGTAAGGTGGTTGATGATGGTGGTGGTTGTGGTGATGGTGGTGGTTGTGGTGGTGATGGTGGTAATGGTGGAGGTCGGTGTGGTGGTCTGGGAGGTTGGTGGTTGTGGTGTTGATGGTGGTTAGGGTAGTGGTGTGGGAGGGTGGTGGTGGTGGTGGTGAGGGAGGTTGGTGTTCTTGATGACGGTTGTGGTGGTAGTGATGATGGCTGTGGTAGTGATGATGGTTATGGTGGTAGTGATTATGCCTGTGGTGGTTGTGGTGGTGGTGGTAGTAGTGATGATGGCTGTGGTGTTTAGTGATGATGGTTGTGGTGGTGGTAGTGATGATGGCTGTGGTGGTGGTGGTGGTGGTGGTAGTGATGATGGCTGTGGTGGTGTTAGAGATGATGGTGGTAACAGTTGTGGTGTTGTAGAGGTGGTGGTTGTCATGATTATCATTTTCATGGCTGTGGTTGACGGTGATGGTGGTGAATGATTGTGGTGATGATGGTGTTGAATGATTGTGGTGATGATGGTGGTGATGGTAGGCACCAATTGATGGTATTGTTACCATAGAGATGATGATCAATGATAGTGAGCATTGCGAATTAACGTGCTACAGTGATGCTGATGTTGATGATGGCAAGTTGGTGATGGTGATGATGGTGATTATGATTTTATAGAACTATTGAGGGCCTGATATGATGGTTATGGGACAGTTTGTTGATGATGACAGTAACACAATGTCGGTCATGACGATAATTGTTGTTTTGTTTACGTGAAGTTATCGTTGTGATGACTGCATTGATGATGACGATGGGGTGATGCTGCCGGTGATGTAATTACACGACAGAGGATAATGTTGGTTAAAGTGATGTTTGTGATGATGGCGTTCGTGGTGGTCATTGCGACGACACTGATGGCGATGATGGTAAATTGATGATGGAGGTTACAGCGATGGTAATGCAGGTTACAGCGATGAAGATTACACTGATGATGACGTCACAAATATCAGCGATGAAGACTACACTGATGATGACGTCACACTCATCAGCGATGAAGATTACACTGATGATGACGTCACACTCATCAGTGATGAAGATTACACTGATGATGACGTCACACTCATCAGCGATGAAGATTACACTGATGATGACGTCACTCATCAGCGATGAAGATTACACTGATGATGACGTCACAAATATCAGTGATGAAGACTACACTGATGATGACGTCACACTCATCAGCGATGAAGATTACACTGATGATGACGTCACACTCATCAGCGATGAAGATTACACCGATGATGACGTCACACTCACGGTGGGGTTGGGGGGGGGGCACCCCTCCCCCCACTTAGCCCTGCCCGTGGAAGCCCCCTCCCCCGCCCCTCTGACCCCCGCCCCCCAAAAGTGGCGTCTCAGCCGAGGGGTGGGTGGTGGTGGTGGTGGAAGCACCCAGCCCCCCCTCCCACACGATCTGCACCTCGGCAGTGGGGGGCCCCGTGGGGGGCCCCGAGGGGGGGGGCGCGCGGGAGTTGACGTAGGGGTCACGGGCCGGGGGGGTGGTGGGCAGGAGGTCGCAGAGCTGCGGGAAGGAAGGCCGGGAGCTAGGCTCCTCCCGCCAGCAGCACAGCATGAGCGAGTACCTGGGGGGGGGCGGAGAGAGGGGGGGGGGTGAGTGTGTGTGAGCAGAGGGGGGGGGAGTGGTGAGCGTGGGTGAGCGGAGAGGGGGGGGGCGGTGAGTGGAGAGAGAGGGGGGCGGTGAGGGTGGGTGAGCAGAGAGAGGGGGGGGTGAGGGTGGGTGAGCGGAGAGAGGGGGGGGGGTGAGGGTGGGTGAGCGGAGAGAGGGGGGGCGGTGAGGGTGAGTGAGCGGAGAGAGGGGGGGCGGTGAGGGTGAGTGAGCGGAGAGAGAGGGGGCGGTGAGGGTGGGGTGAGCGGAGAGAGGGGGGGGCGGTGAGGGTGGGGTGAGCGGAGAGAGAGGGGGGCGGTGAGGGTGGGGTGAGCGGAGAGAGAGGGGGCGGTGAGGGTTGGTGAGCGGAGAGAGGGGGGGCAGTGAGGGTGGGGTGAGCGGAGAAAGAGGGGGGCGGTGAGGGTGAGTGAGCGGAGAGAGAGGGGGCGGTGAGGGTGAGGTGAGCGAAGAGAGGGGGGGCGGTGAGGGTGAGTGAGCGGAGAGAGAGGGGGCGGTGAGGGTGGGGTGAGCGGAGAGAGAGGGGGCGGTGAGGGTTGGTGAGCGGAGAGAGGGGGGGCGGTGAGGGTGGGGTGAGCGGAGAAAGAGGGGGGCGGTGAGGGTGAGTGAGCGGAGAGAGAGGGGGCGGTGAGGGTGGGGTGAGCGAAGAGAGGGGGGCGGTGAGGGTGAGTGAGCGGAGAGAGAGGGGGCGGTGAGGGTGGGGTGAGCGAAGAGAGGGGGGCGGTGAGGGTGAGTGAGCGGAGAGAGAGGGGGGCGGTGAGTGTGGGTGAGCGGAGAGAGGGGGGGGGCGGTGAGTGTGGGTGAGCGGAGAGAGAGGGGGCGATGAGTGTGGGTGAGCGGAGAGAGAGGGGGCGGTGAGGGTGGGTGAGCGGAGAGAGAGGGGGGGTGAGGGGTGGGTGAGCGGAGAGAGAGGGGGCGGTGAGGGTGGGTGAGCGGAGAGAGAGGGGGGGGGTGAGGGGTGGGTGAGCGGAGAGAGAGGGGGGCGGTGAGGGTGGGTGAGCGGAGAGAGAGGGGGCGGTGAGGGTGGGTGAGCGGAGAGAGGGGGGGGGTGAGGGTGGGTGAGCGGAGAGAGGGGGGGGTGAGGGTGGGTGAGCAGAGAGAGAGGGGGCGGTGAGCGAGGGGTGAGCGGAGAGAGAGGGGGGGCGGTGAGGGTGTGACGTGGTGAGTGTGGAAGCGTTGAGGGTAAGCGGTAGGTAATGGTGGTGAGTGAGTGGTGGTGAGTTGTGGTAGTGAGCGAGCGGTAGTCAGTGGTAGTGGTGGGTCAGATTTACAGACACACACAAAGACAAATACAAAGATACTCCATATAGCTTTCAACGGGCTGTTGGGGCAAGCGCTGTTAGCGAGCAGCACCTACGAAGGCCCGCCAAGACACACGATGATGGGGTGGGTGGCCAACGCCCGGTCGCCTTTGTCTCCCCAGTGGCAATGTTTACACACCATGGCACCAGATACTTATTTGAGGCTGAGTCGACCTAGGGGAGGCCCAGGACCGGTTCAGATAATCGTCACTGGTGTTAGCCGTGAGCGGGAATCGAACCCGGGTCGCCAGGTTCATAGCGCAGCGCGCTAACCGCTACACTACCGCACACACGCGCGCACACACGCACACACGGACACACACGCACACACGCGCATACACGGACACACATTGAAACACACACGCACACACAGACACACGGACACACACACACGCGCGCACACACGTGTGCTCACATGTCTGGGCAGCTGTGCGGGGGAGCGGACATGCGATGTCCCTGTTTCAGCATCGAGTAGAACTTGGAGTTGACGGGGAGGCCCGGGTACGGGGTGCAGCCTGGGGGAGCAGTCATTGCAGTGATCAGCATCATCATCAGCAGCATCAGCATCATTATCAGCATCATCAGCAGCATCATCAGCAGCATCATCAGCATCAGCATCATCAGCAGCATCATCATCAGCAGCATCATCATCAGCATCAACAGCATCAGCAGCAGTATCAGCATCATCAGCAGCATCATCATCAGCATCATCATCAGCATCATCATCAGCATCATCGTCGTCGTCTTTAAGAGTGAAGGCATTGCCACTGCAATAACCATCATCATCAGCATCATTGTCATCAGCAGCATCATCATTAATAATAACATCAGCAGCAGCATCTTCGGATATTTACAACGTGGACATCATCAGCATCATCACCCCAAAGTGTGTGTGGTGTGGCCAGCATGCAGCGAGCGGTGGTGCAGTGGTTCGTGCACGGGACTTGGTCCTCCGTCACTAGGCCGACTCAGCCTTAAACGACTACGAGGTGCAGTGTGTATAGAGCACTGGGGAGACAAAGGCGGCTGGGCATGGTCCGGGCCCCACCCCACCCCCTCTTGCGCCGTGCCGGCCTGCATCAGTCCCGCTACTCGCTAACAGCACTTGCTCCGACAGCCCGTCAAAGGCTACACGGGGGGACTTTGTCTTTGTGATCAGCACCACGGACAGCTGCTACCACGGGCTCCACGGCACTTGCCCCAGAGGTCGCAACCGGCTACCCGATACCCGTACCCTACCCGATACCCGATACCCGTACCCTACCCGATACCCGTACCCTACCCGATACCCGATACCCGTACCCTACCCGATACCCGGTACCCTACCCGATACCCGTACCCTACCCGATACCCGATACCCGTACCCTACCCGATACCCGGTACCCTACCCGATACCCGTACCCTACCCGATACCCGTACCCTACCCGATACCCGGTACCCTACCCGATACCCGTACCCTACCCGATACCCGATACCCGTACCCTACCCGATACCCGGTACCCGTACCCGATACCCGTACCCTACCCGATACCCGTACCCTACCCGATACCCGTACCCTACCCGGTACCCGTACCCTACCCGGTACCCGTACCCTACCCGATACCCGTACCCTACCCGATACCCGTACCCTACCCGATACCCGGTACCCTACCCGATACCCGGCTACCAGTACCCGGCCGGGTATCGGGTAGAATACCCGTTTGCGACCCTGGTGCGGCCGGATACGGGTACTGGTAAGGAATCAAAACCCGTTTGCGACCTCTGACTTGCCCCGACGCCCCACGTGGGGTCTAGCCGGGAGTAAGGAGCTGAGCCCATTCCGCTGCTCGTGCGACACTCACCGAGAGAGAAGATCTCCCAGAGCAGCACCCCGTAGGACCAGACGTCGCTCTGGGCCGTGAACACGCCCTGGAAGAGGCTCTCTGGGGCCATCCACTTCACGGGGAGACGAGCCTGGAATGGGGGGGGTGTGGAGGGGGGGGGGCAGTTTAGTGCAACGTGGAGACACGTGGGGGAGGGGGGGGGGTAACACGAGTATTGTTGTGATCGATTCATTGATGACACGCCTGGCTTGCTGGAGTCCTGTGGGCAAGTGATGAGTGTGTGTGTGGTGTGTGAGTGTGTGTGATGTGTGTGAGTGTGTGAGTGTGTGTGTGATGTGTGTGAGTGTGTGTGTGATGAGTGTGTGTGGGGTGTGTAAGTGTGTGTGGTGTGTGTGTGTGAGTGTGTGAGTGTGTGTGTGATGAGTGTGTGTGATGAGTGTGTGTGTGATGAGTGTGTGTGTGTGGTGTGTGTGTGATGAGTGTGTGAGTGTGTGTGATGAGTGTGTGTGTGATGAGTGTGTGAGTGTGTGTGGGGTGTGTGTGTGCGTCTCCGTGCGTCTCTCTGCGTGTCTCCCTGCGTGTATCTCTGCGTGTGTCTCCCTGCCTCTCTGCATGTTTCTGTCTCTCCGTGTGTATGAGTGTCTCTCCGTCTCTCGGCATGTGTCTCCGTGTCTCCGCGTGTCTCTCTGCGTGTCTCTCCGCGTGTCTCTCTGCGTGTGTCTCCCTGCCTCTCTGCATGTCTCTGTCTCTCCGTGTGTCTGAGTGTCTCTCTGCGTGTCTCTCCGTGTGTCTCTCCGCATGTCTCTCTGCGTGTCTCTCCGCGCGTCTCTCCGCGTGTCTCTCCGTGTGTCTCTTCGCTTGTCTCTCAGCGTGTCTCTCCGTGTGTCTCTCCGCGTGTCTCTCCGCGTGTCTCTCTGCGTGCAAGAGTCTCTCACGTTTCCCTTGAGCACGTAGTTGGAGTCAGTGGACACGTCCCTGGCCAGGCCGAAGTCACAGATCTTGAGCATGCGGCCGTGCGTCACGAGCACGTTGCGCGCCGCCAAGTCGCGGTGGATACACTGCGGGGGAGACGCGGGGATCAACAGCGGGGATCATCAGCGGGGATCAACAGCGGGGATCATCAGCGGGGATCAACAGCGGGGAAGACACGGGGAGATACGGAAAGACGCGAGGAGGCCCTGGCAGACGCGGGGAGGCACGGGGAGACGCGGGGATCAACAGCAGGGGAGGCATGGGGAGAGAGACGTGGGGAGGCACGGGGAGGGAGACGTGGGGAGGCACGGGGAGACACTGGGAGACTCGGGCAGAGAGACACGGGCCCCAACAGAGAGGCACGGGGAGACACGGGGAGGGAGACGTGGGGAGGCACGGGGAGACACTGGGAGACTCGGGCAGAGAGACACGGGCCCCAACAGAGAGGCACGGGGAGACACAGGGAGACACGGGCAGGGAGACACGGGGGACCAACGGGGAGACACGGGGAGACACGGGGAGGGAAACGTGGGAGGCACGGGGAGACACGGGGACTAACGGGGAGACACGGGGAGGGAGGCGCGGGGAGGGAGACGCGGGGAGGCGCGGGTAGACACGGGGACCAACGGGGACCAACGGGGAGACACGGGGAGGGAGACGGAGGGAGACGGAGGGAGGCATGGGGAGAGAGAGCTCGAGGACAAGACCACGTTACAATTAATAGGCCACAGGGGATCAAGGGGGAGATGTGGATCAATACGAGCGGAGCTATAATGTATAGCCCACATGGGGATCACAGGATCGACAGAGGGATCAAAGGTGATCAGCAACTCTCCCTGTGGGAGGCTTGAAACGGGGGGGGGGGGGGGGGTCATGGGGTATTGGGGAGGATCAGGGGGGATCGTGGGGGATCAGGGGGGGGTCAGGGGGGATCATGGGGGATCATGGGGGGTCATGGGGGATCAAGGGGGGGGGTCATGGGGATCATGGGGGATCATGGGGGGATCAGGGGAGATCAAGGGGGGTAATGGGGGATCAGGGGGGGTCATGGTGGGATCAGGGGGGATCGTGGGGGATCATGGGGGTATTGAGGGGGATCATGGGGGGTCATGGGGGATCAGGGTGGGATCAGGGGGGGATCGTGGGGGATCATGGGGTATTGAGGGGGATCATGAGGGATCATGGGGAATTAGGGGGGATTATGGGGGGGTCGTCGGGGATCATGGTGGGATCAGGGGGGAATCAAGGGGGATCATGGGGGATCATGGGGGGGATCATGAGGGGATCAAGGGGGATCATGGGGTATTGAAGGGGATCATGGGGGATCATGGGGGATCATGGGGGATCAAGGGGGGGATGATCACTCACGCAGCGTGCCGCCAGGAAGGCCATGCCGCGCGCCACCTGCAGAGCGCAGCTGTGTAGGTCGTCTGGGAGCAGGGGCAGGAGATCCCTCTCCTCCTCATGGGAGCCCCCCTCTTCCCACAGACCTCCCGGGGGGGTCCCCAGGGACCCCTCTCCGTGGGGGTCCGGCGGCCACGCGCCCCCCAGAGACGTGTCGCTGCGTGGGAGGAGAAACGCAAGAGCGATCGTTGTTGTTGTTGTTTTATTTGTTGATTTTTATTTGTTTTTGTTCTTGTTGGTTATTGTTTTTGTTGTTGATTTTTGTTGTTGTTTGTTGAATTTCGTTATTTTTGTTTTTGTTTATTTGTAGTTTTTTGTATATTTGTTGTTGTTTTTGTTGTTGTATATTTGTTGATTTTTGTTATTTTTTTGTTTTTGTTGTTGTTTTCTTTGTCGTTGTTTTTTCATTCCTCCTCCTTCCCTTCCCCGGCCGCTGGTGTAATAATTGTATCCCCCCCCCCCCCCCCCCAAGATGATGATGATGGGCTTAGTGAATTATTGCGTGGGATAGGGAGTGGGTGGGTGAGTGAGTGAGTGAATGAGTGGGTGGGTGAGTGGGTGGGTTGGTGAGTGGGTTGGTGGGTTAGTGAGTGGGTGAATGAGTGGGTGAATGAGTGGGTGGGTGAGTGGGGGGTGGGTGAGTGGGGAGTGGGTGGGTGAGTGGGTGAGTGGGGAGTGGGTGGGTGAGTGGGTGGGTGGGTGAGTGAGTGGGTGGGTGGGTGAGTGGATGAGTGGGTGAGTGGGTGGGTGAGTGGGTGGGTGGGTGAGTGAGTGGGTGGGTGGGTGAGTGAGTGGGTGGGTGAGTGGGTGGGTGGGTGGGTGGGTGAGTGAGTGGGTGGGTGGGTGAGTGAGTGGGTGGGTGAGTGGGTGGGTGAGTGGATGAGTGGGTGGGTGGGTGAGTGAGTGGGTGGGTGAGTGGGTGGGTGGGTGGGTGGATGAGTGGGTGAGTGGGTGAATGAGTGGGTGGGTGAGTGGGGGGTGGGTGAGTGGGGAGTGGATGAGTGAGGAGTGGATGAGTGAGTGGGGAGTGGGTGGGTGGGTGGGGGAGTGGGTGGGTGGGTGGGTGAGTGAGTGGGTGGGTGGGTGAGTGATTGGGTGGGTGGGTGAGTGGATGAGTGGGTGAGTGGGTGAGTGGGTGGGTGAGTGGGTGGGTGAGTGAGTGAGTGAGTGGGTGGGTGGATGAGTGGGTGGGTGAGTGGGTGGGTGAGTGGGTGGGTGAATGAGTGGGTGGGTGAGTGGGTGGGTGGGTGAGTGAGTGGGTGGATGAGTGGGTGAGTGAGTTAGTGGGTGGGTGAATGAGTGGGTGGGTGAGTGTATGAGTGGGTTGGTGGGTGAGTGAGTGGGTGGATGAGTGGGTGAGTGAGTTAGTGGGTGGGTGAATGAGTGGGTGAGTGAGTGAGTGGGTGAGTGAATGAGTGGGTGGGTGGGTGAGTGAGTGGGTGAGTGGGTGGGTGGGTGAGTGAGTGAGTGAGTTAGTGGGTGGGTGAATGAGTGTGCACCTGTAGGTGAGGTTGGCGTAGTGGTGGGGGAGTGGGGGGTCGCATGGCCGGTAATGAGCGCGCTTGGCAATGAGGAAGTTGAGGAGGTCTCCATGGCAACAGTACTCGGTCATAACGAGCACGGGCTCTGGGGGTGGGGGGGGGGACCAGCAACAACGGCAGCATCATCGTCGTCAGTAGCAACAATATCATCCATCTCATCCCCCTGGCCCCCACCTCCCCGCCCCTACACCTGGCTCCTCCCCCCCTCACCCCCACCTCTCACCCCCCCGCCCCTGGTCCCCCCCCCCCCACCCGTGGCTCCCCTTGACCCCCACCTCTCTCCCCCCACCCCTGGCCCCTCCCCCTGGCCCCTCCCCCTGGCCCCTCCCCCTGACACGATGCCCCCACCCACCCTTGGCTCCTCCCCCTGACCCCCCCCCCCACCACTGGCCCCTCCCCCTGCCCCCCCACCCCGACCCCTGGCCCCTCCCCCTGGCCCCGCCCACCTCTCTCGGTGCACGCCCCCAGGAGATTGACGATGTTGAGGTGGGATCCCAGGTGGCTCAGGATCTTGAGTTCGGAGAGCAGCGCCTCCTTCTCCGTGGCGTGCGCGCTCGCTGTGCGGGGGAGGGGGAGGGGGGGAGGGGGTGAGGGGGAGGGGATCGGGGGGGCGGGGGCGGGGGGATGGAGGGAGGGGGTGGGGGGTAGCGTCTTCAATATTGGGCAAAGTTACGATGATTGCGGCGCTGACATGTGGACATGAGAGATTAGAGAGATAGGCAGAGAGAGAGAGAGAGTGGGAGACACGTCCCCGGAGTGCCGGTCCTGCGGTAAAGTGGAGAGGGTGGCGCTCCAATACGTGGAGTGCAAGAGCCTGGGGTAGAGAGAGGGGGTAGAGAGAGAGGGGGTAGAGATAGAGGGGGTAGAGAGAGAGGGGGGTAGAGAGAGAGGGGGGGTAGAGAGAGAGGGGGTAGAGAGAGAGGGGGGTAGAGAGAGAGGGGGGGTAGAGAGAGAGGGGGTAGAGAGATGGGGGGTAGAGAGAGAGGGGGTAGAGAGAGAGGGGGTAGAGAGAGAGAGGGGGTAGAGAGAGAGGGGGTAGAGGAGAGAGGGGGTAGAGAGAGAGAGAGGGGGTAGAGAGAGAGGGGGTAGAGAGAGAGGGGGTAGAGAGAGAGGGGGGGTAGAGAGAGAGGGGGTAGAGAGATGGGGGGTAGAGAGAGAGGGGGTAGAGAGAGAGGGGGTAGAGAGAGAGGGGGTAGAGAGATGGGGGGTAGAGAGAGAGGGGGTAGAGAGAGAGGGGGGGTCGAGAGAGAGGGGGTAGAGAGATAGGGGGGGTCGAGAGAGAGGGGGGTAGAGAGAGAGGGGGTAGAGAGAGAGAGGGGTAGAGAGAGTGTGAGCGAAAGGTGGGGCTTTACATAAAGCAGAGTTTAAAAATGTAAATTAAAAAAAACATTTACGAAATGATGAACGAAACAAAGTGCCGACTACACCGAGCATCTTCTTGCTTCTTTTGAACGTAAAAAAGAGAGAGACACGGAGAGACACACGGGGAGAGAGACACACGGGGAGAGAGACACACGGGGTGAGAGACACGGGGTGAGAGACACGGGGTGAGATACACACGGGGAGAGAGACACGGAGAGAGACACACGGGGAGAGAGACACACGGGGAGAGAGACACACGGGGAGAGAGACACACGGGGAGAGAGACACACGGAGAGAGAAACACACGGAGAGAGAGAGACACGGGGAGTGAGACACGGGGAGAGAGAGACACAAGGAGCGAGCGACAGAGAGAGACACGGGGGGGGGGGTGAGACACGGCGGGGGGGAGACACGGGGAGTGATTTTCTGATGGAAAAAAAATAGAGAGAGGAAGAGAGAGAGAGAGACTTTGACTTTTAAACAACTTTTATTGCCGCCAGCAGCAACAGCACTGGAGGCGATTTCAATATGAATTCAACAGTCACCAGCAAACAAATGAAAACAAACGCTACAAATCGACGCGCTGTGGCGCTAAAAGCACCGCGCACAACACGAAAGAAAAGTCACGTGGTTGTGATGTCATCGCGCACGCCACGGTGACGAGCGAGCGCTTCAGAAGGTGAACACCACGAGGGTGCCGTCCACGCTGCTACAGAGAGGGGCTTGCCCGGCTCCCCAGCGCTCGAAGAAGACGCGCTGCACATCACCGACACGTGTGTGAGAGAGAGAGAGACGGAGAGAGATGGGGAGAGATGGAGAGAGAGGAAGACCGTGTGCTCGGTGGCAGATAACGGAGAGCTCTGCATGCAGATATGAGCTACCCGTCGGAGGCTGTTGGCCTGCGAGAAGGGCTGCGTGCAGAACGAGAGTGAGCGAGCGAGAGAGAGAGAGTGAGCGAGCGAGAGAGAGAGAGAGAGTGACCGAGAGAGCGAGTGAGAGAGTGAGCGAGAGAGCGAGCGAGAGAGTGAGCGAGAGAGTGAGCGAGAGAGTGAGCGAGAGAGCGAGCGAGAGAGTGAGCGAGAGAGTGAGCGAGAGAGTGAGCGAGAGAGTGAGCGAGTGAGTGAGCGAGAGAGCGAGTGAGAGAGTGAGCGAGAGAGCGAGCGAGAGAGTGAGCGAGAGAGTGAGCGAGAGAGTGAGCGAGCGAGAGAGAGAGAGAGCGAGTGAGCGAGCGAGAGAGTGAGCGAGCGAGAGAGTGAGCGAGCGAGAGAGCGAGCGAGAGAGTGAGCGAGAGAGAGAGTGAGTGAGCGAGCGAGAGAGTGAGCGAGAGAGTGAGCGAGAGAGAGAGCGAGCGAGTGAGCGAGAGAGTGAGCGAGCGAGAGAGCGAGCGAGTGAGCGAGAGAGTGAGCGAGAGAGTGAGCAAGAGAGTGAACGAGAGTGAGCGAGCGAGAGAGTGAGAGAGTGACCGAGAGAGTGAGCGAGAGAGTGAGCGAGAGGTGGGGCTTTACATAAAGCCAAGTTTAAAAATGTAAATTTAATTTTAAAAAAATTACGAAATGATGAACGAAGCAAAGTGCCGAATACACCGAGCATCTTCTTGTTTCCACTGATCGTAAAAAAAAAGAGAGGAAGAGAGAGAGATGGAGAGAGGAAGAGAGAGCCACTGACGTTTGAGCATCTTGACAGCGACGCGCAGGGCGCTCTGTCCTGGCCGCAGCCCAAACGCCGTGGCCTCCACCACCTTGCCAAACGCCCCGGTGCCGAGCGTGCGGCCTGGGGGGGGGGGCACGGGGGGCACGGGGGGGGGGGCACGGGGAGGGGGTCAGGGGGTGGGGGTGCAAGTGAGGGTGTGATGTGGTGAGTGTGGAAGTGTTGAGTGTAAGTGGTGAGTAATGGTGGCGAGCGGTGGTGGGTGAGTGAGTGAGTGGTGAGTGAGTGGTGAGCGAGTGGTGATTGAGTGGTGAGTGAGTGGCGGTGAGCGAGCGGTGGTGAGCGAGCGGTGGTGGGTGAGCGGTGAGCGAGTGGTGGTGAGCGTACGGTGGTGAGCGAGCGGTGGTGAGCGAGTGGTGAGTGAGTGGTGAGTGAGCGAGTGGTGGTGAGCGAGTGGTGGTGAGCGATGAGCGAGCGAGCGGTGAGTGAGTGGTGGTGAGCGGTGAGTGAGTGGTGTTGAGCGAGCGGTGAGTGGTGAGCGAGCGGTGAGTGAGGGGTGAGTGAGCGGTGAGTGAGTGGTGAGTGAGCGAGTGGTGGTGGTGAGCGAGTGGTGAGTGAGTGGTGAGTACCAAAGTGCAGCTGCTCGCGAGGGAACTCCCAGGCGGAGGTGACGTAGGGGAGGCTGGCCGGGTCGATGTAGCAGTAGCGGCCGCCCTCGCTCGCCGCAGCGTCCACGATCTTCCAGCGCAGCTCGTAGCGCGGCCTCTACGCGGTGGGAGACATGGGGCAGCAGTGGGAGGTGGGTGAGGGAGGTGAGTGAGGGGGGTGAGAGCAGTGAGTGAGAGGAGTGAGGGAGGGAGGTGAGGGAGGTTAGTGAGAGAGGTGAGTGAGGGAGGTGAGGGACAGCGGTGAGTGAGAGCGGTGAGTGAGAGGGGTGAGTGAGTGAGAGGGGTGAGTGAGTGAGAGGGGTGAGCGAGTGAGAGTGGTGAGTGAGAGCGGTGAGTGAGCGAGTGAGAGTGGTGAGTGAGAGCGGTGAGTGAGCGAGTGAGAGTGGTGAGTGAGAGCGGTGAGTGAGCGAGTGAGAGCGGTGAGAGGGGTGAGCGAGGGGTGAGCGCTGAGCGAGGCTCCCCGCGCTCACCCCGCGCTCACCCCGCGCGCTCACCCCACGTGCTCACCCCCCCCCCCATGCTCACCCCGCGTGCTCACCCCGTGCTCACCCCCCCCCCCCCCCGTGCTCACCCCGCGTGCCTTGTGCAGGAAGAACAGTGTGGATGTGAGCAGCGCGCCCGCGAGCAGCGACACGGCGAGCAGCGACCACAGCGACACGCTCAGCGCACCGCCCGCCACGGGGCCTGCAGCCCCCCCTGTCGAGACGCGGGGGGGGGGGCACGGGGGGGGCACGGGGGGGGCACGGGGGGGCACGGGGGGGCACGGGGGGGTACGGGGGGAGCACGGGGGGGCACGGAGGCACGGGGTCACGGGGGGGGGGGCACGAGGGGCACGGGGAGGGTAAGGGGGGTGGAGAGGTGAGGGGGGGAAGGAGGGGCATGGGGGGAGGGGCGGCACGGGGGGGTCACGGGGGGCGCATGGGGGTCACGGAGGGGAGGAGAGGTGAGGGGCGGAGGAGGGGCATGGGGGGAGGGGCGGCATGGGAGGTCAGGGGGGGCACGGGGGGTCACGGGGGGGGCATGGGGGGTCACGGAGGGGAGGAGAAGCGAGGGGGGAAGGAGGGGGACACGAGGAAGAGGGGCATAGGCGGCATGGTGAGGGACAGTGGATAGTGGAGTGCACGTGGCTGTGTGGCTGTGTGGTTGTGTGACTGCGTGTGTGTGCGTGTGTGTGACTGTGTGTGACTGTGTGTGTGTGAGACTGTGTGTGTGACTGTGTGTGTGACTATGTGTGTGTGTGTGACTGTGTGTGTGACTGTGTGTGTGACTGCGTGTGTGACTTGGGGAGCGGTAGTGCAGTGGTTAGCGCGCTGCGCTATGAACCTGGCGACCCGGGTTCGATTCCCGCTCACGGCCAACATCAGTGACGATTATCTGAACCGGTCCTGGGCCTCCCCTAGGTCGACTCAGCCTCAAATGAGTGCCCGGTGCGGTGTGTAAACATCGCCACTGGGGAGACAAAGGCGGTCGGGCGTGGTGCTGGCCACCCACCCCCTCGTGTACCGTTCTGGCCTTCATAGGTGCTCGCTAACAGCACTTGCCTCTACAGTCTGTTAAGGCTACACGGGGGATCTTTATTTTTGTCTTTGTGTGTGACTGTGCGTGTGTGACTGTGTGTGTGACTGTGTGTGTGACTGTGTGTGTGCCTGTGTGTGTGACTGTGTGTGACTGTGTGTGACTGTGTGCGTGTGTGTGTCTGCGTGTGTGTGTTTGTGACTGTGTGTGTGTGACTGTGTGTGTGTGACTGTGTGTGTGACTGTGTGTGTGACTGTGTGTGTGACTGTGTGTGTGACTATGTATGTGTGTGACTGTGTGTGTGTGTGACTGTGTGTGTGTGTGACTGTGTGTGTGTGTGTGACTGTGTGTGTGTGACTGTGTGTGTGTGACTATGTATATGTGTGACTGTGTGTGTGTACTGTGGTGTGTGTGTGACTGTGTGTGTGTGTGACTGTGTGTGTGTGACTGTGTGTGTGTGTGACTGTGTGTGTGTGTGACTGTGTATATGTGTGACTGTGTGTGTGACTGTGTGTGTGTGTGACTGTGTGTGTGTGACTATGTGTGTGTGTGACTGTGTGTGTGTGACTGTGTGTGTGTGTGACTGTGTGTGTGTGACTGTGTGTGTGTGTGACTGTGTGTGTGTGTGACTGTGTGTGTGTGACTGTGTGTGTGTGTGACTGTGTGTGTGTGTGACTGTGTGTACGTGTGACTGTGTGTGTGTGACTGTGTGTGTGTGTGACTGTGTGTGTGTGTGACTGTGTGTGTGTGACTGTGTGTGTGTGTGACTGTGTGTGTGTGTGACTGTGTATATGTGTGACTGTGTGTGTGACTGTGTGTGTGTGTGACTGTGTGTGTTGTGACTATGTGTGTGTGTGACTGTGTTGTGTGTGACTGTGTGTGTGTGTGACTGTGTGTGTGTGACTGTGTGTGTGTGTGACTGTGTGTGTGTGTGACTGTGTGTGTGACTGTGTGTGTGTGTGACTGTGTGTGTGTGTGACTGTGTGTGTGTGTGACTGTGTGACTGTGTGTGTGTGTGACTGTGTGTGTGTGTGACTGTGTGTGTGTGTGACTGTGTGTGTGTGTGACTGTGTGTGTGTGACTGTGTGGTGTGTGACTGTGTGTGTGTGTGACTGTGTGTATGTGTGACTGTGTGTGTGTGACTGTGTGTGTGTGACTTGTGTGTGTGTGTGACTGTGTGTGTGTGACTGTGTGTGTGTGTGACTGGTGTGTGTGTGACTGTGTATATGTGTGACTGTGTGTGGTGACTGTGTGTGTGTGTGACTGTGTGTGTGTGACTATGTGTGTGTGTGACTGTGTGTGTGTGACTGTGTGTGTGTGTGACTGTGTGTGTGTGACTGTGTGTGTGTGTGACTGTGTGTGTGTGTGACTGTGTGTGTGGACTTGTGTGTGTGTGTGACTGTGTGTGTGTGTGTGTTGACTGTGTTGTGTGTGTGTGTGACTGTGTGTGTGTGTGACTGTGTGTGTGTGTGACTGTGTGTGTGTGTGCGTGTCGCACGCCGCAGGAAGAACGGCGAGGTGAAGTGAACTCTGGAGCTGCTCCCCAAGCGGTTCCAGGCGACGCATTCCACCGTGAACCCTGACCCCAGCACATCCCCCGACTCCCCCCCCGTCCCCTCTCCATCGCCGCCCACGTCCGCGCGTCCCTCCGGCTGCCCGGCCCCCACCGCCTCCCCGATGACCCCCGCGTGACCCCAAAGGGCGGGGGTCAAGGTCAACTCGCTGACGACCGTGACCCCCAGCGGCCCGTCGCCGCCCTGGCCCTCCCCGGCCTCGCGTTCGCGGATCGTCGTCCCGTTGCCGGCCTCCAGTTCCCGCGTGTCGTTACTGCCGCTGCAACTGGATTGGGGGGCAGGGGGGGCAGAGAGGGAGGGGGGGCAGAGGGAGGGGGGGGGCATTGAGAGAGGGGGGCGGAGTGGGTGGCGGGAGTGGAGCGTTGAGTTTGTATATTGGGTTTTGGGGAGCAGTAGTGCAGTGGTTATTTGCTACGTGCGTTGGACTTCTTTCGCACCGTACGTATCCAACCGTGAATTATCGGAGGTGAAGTGTTGAGTCTATGGGCAGTGTTGAGTCTATGGGTAGTGTTGAGTCTATGGATAGTGTTGAGTCTATGGGCAGTGTTAGTCAATGGGCAGTGTTTGTCTATGGGCAGTATGTGTCTATGTTGAACTTTCTAGAAAGTGCATAGCAATAGCACTAATATTCTGTTAAAGGCTATACGGGGGATCTTTGTCTTTATGGGGTGCCACGGTGGTGAAATGTTAACTCCCTCGCCTGGTCTACAGGAGCTGTCAATTGTGGCCCAGGCCGCGTCTGTCAAAGGGCTACGTAGCAAGCTCAGCGGGGCCTTACCTGGTAACATAAGTAACAGTCTCGTATCGCGTGTGTGCGTGTCACACCTGTTGCGTGTGTGTGTGCGTGTCACACTTGTTGCGTGTGTGCGTGCGTCACACCTGTTGCGTGTGTGTGTGCGTGTGTCACACTTGTTGCGTGTGTGCGTGCGTCACACCTGTTGCGTGCGTGCGTGCGTCAAACCTGTTGCGTGCGTGCGTGCGTCACACCTGTTGCGTGCGTGCGTCACACCTGTTGCGTGCGTGCGTGCGTCACACCTGTTGCGTGTGTGCGTGCGTCACACCTGTTGCGTGCGTGTGTGCGTGCGTCACACCTGTTGCGTGCGTGCGTGCGTCACACCTGTTGCGTGTGTGCGTGCGTCACACCTGTTGCGTGCGTGCGTCACACCTGTTGCGTGCGTGTGTGCGTCACACCTGTTGCGTGTGTGCGTACGTCACACCTGTTGCGTGCGTGTGTGCGTGCGTCACACCTGTTGCGTGCGTGCGTGCGTCACACCTGTTGCGTGTGTGCGTGCGTCACACCTGTTGCGTGCGTGCGTCACACCTGTTGCGTGCGTGTGTGCGTCACACCTGTTGCGTGTGTGCGTGCGTCACACCTGTTGCGTGCGTGCGTAACACCTGTTGCGTGCGTGCGTAACACCTGTTGCGTGTGTGTGTCACACCTGTTGCGTGTGTGCGTGCGTCACACCTGTTGCGTGCGTGCGTGCGTAACACCTGTTGAGTGCGTGCGTCACACCTGTTGCGTGCGTGTGTGCGTGCGTCACACCTGTTGCGTGCGTGCGTGCGTCACACCTGTTGCGTGCGTGCGTGCGTCAAACCTGTTGCGTGTGCCGGGACACAGGAGCCACGTTACGTGCGCTCGCGGCAGCGCAGTCGCCGTGCAAGTGCGCCGCTCGCTATCCGAGCTCGCCAGCAGGGAGTCGATCTGGGGGGCCGCTGGGGGGCAGGGGGGTGGGGGGTCGGGGGGGGTCGGTGGGCGGGGGGTCGTTTAGAGGTGATTATTTACAAGGGTGCCAGGCCAGCGTCGTGGTGATGGTGGTGGATGATGGTGATGTGTGTATACATGTTCAGCATCTTTAGCCAACCGCATACCTGTCAACCCCTTATCAGTGCCCTACCTTATTACAGACCAACTTATAATCTCAACGTTCATCCCACAAAGTCCCACCACAAGGGAGAAACACAAATGGACGAACATTTTGTCGCCCGTATTGAAACGGTTGCACGCCGTATGGACCTGTACAAGATTGCGGGGTAGACCGTGTGGGTTGACGGCTGTGCGGCCGTGCTAATCGAGATGATGTGATAACGAGGGGGTGTTGATACCGTCGCTGCGCAGAGCTTGGTGGGCTCTGGCCACGCGATGATTAGTGCTCGGAGGAATTCCCGCAGCCAATGGAATGCAGGGTGAGAGGCACGGGTGACTAGCACGTGCGAGTGAAGAGGAGTTGCGTTAAATGGCCAGGATCCAGGCACCGGCCATTCAGGTGGAAGGGGAAGCGGTCTCGTCGGCTGGGGGCTGCGCAAGGCGGCGGGGTAAACGCGGATCGGGAGCACGCAGAGACGCACGCAGGAATTCTGAGAGCGGCTGAGAAATGGGACGAGGGTTCACTCGAGATCGTGGCGTGGGAGAGAGCATGGGAGACGGAGGGTGCGGGGAGACGGAGGACCTGGGACGTGAAGGACACGGGATACAAAAGGCGCCGGAAACAGAGGACGTGGGGAATGGAAAGCGTGCTAAATGGAAAGCACGGGAAACGGAGAGCTCAGAAAACTAGGGCCGCGTAAAACAGAATGTGCAGGAAACGGAGGGCAAAGTAAACGGACAGCACAGAAAACGAAGGGCGCGAAAAACGGAGGTTGCGGCAAACGGAGGACACAGGGAAAAATTGGGCGTGGGAAACGGGGTGAGCGCAGAAAGCGGAGCGAGACAATACGGAGAGCGAGACAATACGGAGAGCGAGACAATACGGAGAGCGAGACAATACGGAGAGTGAGACAATACAGAGAGCGAGACAATACAGAGAGCGAGACAATATGGAGAGCGAGACAATACGGAGAGCGAGACAATACGGAGAGCGAGACAATACGGAGAGCGAGACAATACGGAAAGCGAGACAATACGGAGAGCGAGACAATACGGAGAGCGAGACAATACAGAGAGCGAGACAATACAGAGAGCGAGACAATACGGAGAGCGAGACAATACGGAGAGCGAGACAATACGGAGAGCGAGACAATACGGAGAGCGAGACAATACGTAGAGCGAGACAATACGGATAGCGAGACAATACGGAGAGCGAGACAATACAGAGAGCGAGACAATACAGAGAGCGAGACAATACGGAGAGCGAGACAATACGGAGAGCGAGACAATACGGAGAGCGAGACAATACGGAGAGCGAGACAATACGGAGAGCGAGACAATACGGAGAGCGAGACAATACGGAGAGCGAGACAATACAGAAAGCGAGACAATACGGAGAGCGAGACAATACGGAGAGCGAGACAATACGGAGAGCGAGACAATACGGAGAGCGAGACAATATGGAGAGCGAGACAATACGGAGAGCGAGACAATACGGAGAGCGCACGAGAGGGAGAGCGCGCGAGCGAGCGTGCGAGTCCTCACCGCTCACGTGGAGCGCGACGCTCGCCCAGTCCGCGCTGTCCGAGTTGTGCACGTCCACGCGGAACCAACCAGAGAGAAGGCGGGAAACCCCAGCCAGCGAGAGCACGCTGCGGTACCTGACCACACAACCACCATCACCACCGCCGCCGCCGCCGCTGTCACAGGGAGCGCCGCTCGCTCCTCATCGGCCCAGCATCTCGACTGGCGCATCGCACCTCACCTCAACCGCTGCACCGCCCTGCTGCAGTCGAGCCCAAGGGACCCCCCCAGTGGAAGCTCTCCCTACGTGGCACAACTTGTGACCCAGCAACGGCGTGTGCGGTTGTGTGTCATTCAGCCAGGAGGAGGTGGGGGGGGGGTGGCGATGTTGCTAAGGGAATGATTGTTTTTTTTTCCAAGTGAGAGATTTGAGTCATTTTCCAATTACGGAACATAGGACAAGCCCCCCCCCCACCGCCCCGGTTGCTGCCCCCATAGCTGTCAACCCCTAATCAGTGACCTACCTTCTTACAGAACAATTCAGAACTTATTAGTCATCCCGCCGTGCCATTATAAATCACAACGTGCATCCGACAAAGTCCCATCACAAGGAAGAAACACAAACAAATAGACAATTTATTTGTTTGCCCGTATTGAGACGGCTGTACACCGTATGGACAAGAAAACTCAATGTCCCTCTAACAGGGGTGCGGAACGTCCGGCCCGCGGGCCGTACATGACCCTCGAAATCATTTGGTGTGGCCCTGCCAAGGCAACCGCAGGCGGGACTCGAAATTCAATAATTCTAGGAGCAAACCTAGAAAAGCAGTTGCGAGTAGCAACATCATCAATACCAGCTAACATCACACGCCTCGCCAAAGAGAAGCAGTTCCAGCCATCGCATTAGGGGCGAGTTAATTAAATGTTTGACCAAATATAACAGTAAAATGTATTATTTTGTATGGCACGCGAATGATGTCATAAACATCCAAATGACCCTTGGCAGAAAAACGGTTCCCCACCCGTGGTCTCCAAGAACACGTGGTGAACCCTGTAGGTCGACAGCTGTGCGCCTCCCACCCCTCACCTGTTGTCCCCCAGGTGCTCCAGCACCGGGCTCCACGTCGCCTCCGCCGCCTCGCCACCGCTGCCCCCGCCGCTGCCCTCGCCCCCACCCCACAGCCCCCCGCTGCCCCCCACCGGCGCCGCCGTCGCGGCCTCGTCGGCGTGACGAGGCCCGGACCACGTGGCAAGCCGCGGCGGGGGGTACGCGTCGATGGTCACGGACAGCTCCGCCGCGTCGCCCTCGTCCGCGCGGACGTCGCGCGACGCGGGTGAGATGCGCACGAAGCCATGGTCTGTGGGGCACATTGTCAGCGCGGCGTCGTCGTCGTGGTAACCGACAACATCATCATCAACATCAACATCACCGTGGTCGTCAGAGTTACTAGGCCAGGGCCTCCGAGCTACTAGGCCAGGGCCTCCGAGCTACTAGACTGGGAGGGACATCAGGAGCTACTAGACCAGGACATCAAGAGCTGCTAGACCAGGACATCAAGAGCTGCTAGACCAGGACATCAAGAGCTGCTAGACCAGGACATCAAGAGCTGCTAGACCAGGACATCAAGAGCTGCTAGACTAGGACATCAAGAGCTGCTAGACCAGGACATCAAGAGCTACTAGACTAGGACATCAAGAGCTACTAGACTAGGACATCAACAGCTACTAGACTAGGACATCAAGAGCTACTAGACTAGGACATCAAGAGCTTCTACACCAGGACATCAAGAGCTGCTAGACCAGGACATCAAGAGCTACTAGACTAGGACATCAAGAACTGCTAGACCAGGACATCAAGAACTGCTAGACTAGGACATCAAGAACTGCTAGACCAGGACATCAAGAACTGCTAGACTAGGACATCAAGAACTGCTAGACCAGGACATCAAGAACTGCTAGACAAGGACATCAAGAACTGCTAGACCAGGACATCAAGAACTGCTAGACCAGGACATCAAGAGCTGCTAGACTAGGACATCAAGAACTGCTAGACAAGGACATCAAGAACTGCTAGACCAGGACATCAAGAGCTGCTAGACCAGGACATCAAGAACTGCTAGACAAGGACATCAAGAGCTGCTAGACTAGGACATCAAGAGCTGCTAGACTAGGACATCAAGAACTGCTAGACTAGGACATCAAGAGCTGCTAGACTAGGACATCAAGAACTGCTAGACTAGGACATCAAGAACTGCTAGACTAGGACATCAAGAGCTGCTAGACTAGGACATCAAGAACTGCTAGACAAGGACATCAAGAACTGCTAGACTAGGACATCAAGAACTGCTAGACTAGGACATCAAGAACTGCTAGACTAGGACATCAAGAACTGCTAGACTAGGACATCAAGAGCTGCTAGACCAGGGCATCAAGAACTGCTAGACCAGGACATCAAGAGCTGCTAGACTAGGACATCAAGAGCTGCTAGACCAGGACATCAAGAACTGCTAGACTAGGTCATCAAGAGCTGCTAGACCAGGACATCAAGAGCTGCTAGACCAGGACATCAAGAGCTGCTAGACTAGGACATCAAGAACTGCTAGACCAGGACATCAAGAGCTGCTAGACTATGACATCAAGAGCTGCTAGACTAGGACATCAAGAGCTGCTAGACTAGGACATCAAGAACTGCTAGACTAGGACATCAAGAGCTGCTAGACTAGGACATCAAGAGCTGCTAGACTAGGACATCAAGAACTGCTAGACTAGGACATCAAGAACTACTAGACTAGGACATCAAGAGCTGCTAGACTAGGACATCAAGAGCTGCTAGACTAGGACATCAAGAACTGCTAGACTAGGACATCAAGAGCTGCTAGACCAGGACATCAAGAGCTGCTAGACCAGGACATCAAGAGCTGCTAGACTAGGACATCAAGAACTGCTAGACCAGGACATCAAGAGCTGCTAGACTATGACATCAAGAGCTGCTAGACTAGGACATCAAGAGCTGCTAGACTAGGACATCAAGAACTGCTAGACTAGGACATCAAGAGCTGCTAGACTAGGACATCAAGAGCTGCTAGACTAGGACATCAAGAACTGCTAGACTAGGACATCAAGAACTACTAGACTAGGACATCAAGAGCTGCTAGACTAGGACATCAAGAGCTGCTAGACTAGGACATCAAGAACTGCTAGACTAGGACATCAAGAACTGCTAGACTAGGACATCAAGAACTACTAGACTAGGACATCAAGAACTGCTAGACTAGGACATCAAGAACTGCTAGACTAGGACATCAAGAACTGCTAGACTAGGACATCAAGAACTACTAGACTAGGACATCAAGAGCTGCTAGACTAGGACATCAAGAACTGCTAGACTAGGACATCAAGAACTACTAGACTAGGACATCAAGAACTACTAGACTAGGACATCAAGAACTGCTAGACTAGGACATCAAGAACTGCTAGACTAGGACATCAAGAACTGCTAGACAAGGACATCAAGAACTGCTAGACTAGGACATCAAGAACTGCTAGACTAGGACATCAAGAACTACTAGACTAGGACATCAAGAGCTGCTAGACTAGGACATCAAGAACTGCTAGACTAGGACATCAAGAACTGCTAGACCAGGACATCAAGAACTACTAGACTAGGACATCAAGAACTACTAGACTAGGACATCAAGAACTGCTAGACTAGGACATCAAGAACTGCTAGACTAGGACATCAAGAACTGCTAGACTAGGACATCAAAAACTACTAGACTAGGACATCAAGAGCTGCTAGACTAGGACATCAAGAACTGCTAGACTAGGACATCAAGAACTGCTAGACTAGGACATCAAGAACTGCTAGACAAGGACATCAAGAACTGCTAGACAAGGACATCAAGAGCTGCTAGACTAGGACATCAAGAGCTGCTAGACCAGGACATCAAGAGCTACTAGACCAGGACATCAAGAGCTGCTAGACTAGGACATCAAGAGCTACTAAACTAGGACATCAAGAGCTGCTAGACCAGGACATCAAGAACTGCTAGACTAGGACATCAAGAACTACTAGACTAGGACATCAAGAGCTGCTAGACTAGGACATCAAGAGCTGCTAGACTAGGACATCAAGAACTGCTAGACTAGGACATCAAGAACTACTAGACCAGGACATCAAGAGCTGCTAGACCAGGACATCAAGAGCTACTAGACCATGACATCAAGAGCTGCTAGACTAGGACATCAAGAGCTGCTAGATCAGGACATCAAGAGCTGCTAGACCAGGACATCAAGAGCTGCTAGACCAGAACATCAAGAGCTGCTAGATCAGGACATCAAGAGCTACTAGACTAGGACATCAAGAGCTACTAGACCAGGACATCAAGAGCTGCTAGACCAGGACATCGAGAGCTGCTAGACCAGGACATCAAGAGCTACTAGACCAGGACATCAAGAGCTGCTAGACCAGGACATCAAGAGCTGCTAGACCAGGACATCAAGAGCTGCTAGACCAGGACATCAAGAGCTGCTAGACCAGGACATCAAGAGCTGCTAGACCAGGACATCAAGAGCTGCTAGACCAGGACATCAAGAGCTGCTAGACTAGGACATCAAGAGCTGCTTGACCAGGACATCAAGAGCTGCTAGACCAGGACATCAAGAGCTACTAGACCAGGACATCAAGAGCTGCTAGACCAGGACATCAACAGCTACTAGACCGGGGCCTTCCGCTAGTGTCCGTGCGCTGCTCGTTACCTACCCAGCACGACCAACTCGATGGCGCTGGAGTCGGCTCCGCCGGCTCGGTTCGAGGCCCGGCACGCGTAGCGCCCCCCGTGGCGAGCCCCCACGGCCTCCACGTGCACGCTCTGCGTCACGTGCAGCACGCCCACGTGGTCGTAGCGGCGCTCCTGGCGGTCGAGCGGCAGCTCCTGGGGGCACGGGGACAAATGTCAGCAGAAACATCATCAGCAGCAGCAGCATCATCAGCAGCAGCAGCATCATCATCATCAGCAGCAGCAGCAGCAACATCATCATCATCAGCAGCATCATCAGCAGCATCCACACCAGGATTAGCATCAGCAGCATCATCAGCAGTAGCAACATCATCAGCAGCATCATCATGGGGCCAGATGATAGCGAGGGTAGTTGGATAGTCGCTGGCTAAAGGGGGTAAAAGGGAGTGGGGGGGTAGTAGGGAGTTGGGGGGGGGCTATGGGTGTGAGTGGGGGGGTAGGAGGGAGTTGGGGGGAGCTATGGGAGGGAGTTGGGGGGGGGCTATGGGTGTGAGTGGGGGGGGGGCCTGTGGGTGTGAGTGGGGGGGGGGCTGTGGGTGTGAGTGGGGGGGGGGGCTGTGGGTGTGAGTGGGGGGGGGGGCTGTGGGTGTGAGTGGGGGGGGGGGCCTGTGGGTGTGAGTGGGGGGGGGCTGTGGGTGTGAGTGGGGGGGGGGGCTGTGGGTGTGAGTGGGGGGGGGGGGCTATGGGTGTGAGTGGGGGGGGGGCCTGTGGGTGTGAGTGGGGGGGGGGCTGTGGGTGTGAGTGGGGGGGGGGGCTGTGGGTGTGAGTGGGGGGGGGGGCCTGTGGGTGTGAGTGGGGGGGGGCCTGTGGGTGTGAGTGGGGGGGGGGCCTGTGGGTGTAAGTGGGGGGGGGGCCTGTGGGTGTGAATGGGGGGGGGGCCTGTGGGTGTGAGTGGGGGGGGGGGCTGTGGGTGTGAGTGGGGGGGGCTGTGGGTGTGAGTGGGGGGGGGCTGTGGTTGTGAGTGGGGGGGGGCTGTGGTTGTGAGTGGGGGGGGGGCTGTGGTTGTGAGTGGGGGGGGGCTGTGGTTGTGAGTGGGGGGGGGCTGTGGTTGTGAGTGGGGGGGGGCTGTGGGTGTGAGTGGGGGGGGGGCTGTGGTTGTGAGTGGGGGGGGGCCTGTGGGTGTGAGTGGGGGGGGGCTGTGGTTGTGAGTGGGGGGGGGGCTGTGGGTGTGAGTGGGAGGGGCTGTGGTTGTGAGTGGGGGGGGGCTGTGGGTGTGAGTGGGGGGCCGCACCGCGTCCCCCGAGAAGTTCCAGTGCAGCAGCACGATGGGGTTGATGCTGGTCACGGTGCACCACAACTCCAGCGGCTCGCCACGCACGCGCAGCAGCGGGGACGACGACGACGACGACGACGAGGATGACGATGAGGATGACGCGTTCAGCGTCACGGTGAGCGCCGAATCTACACCACCACCACCACCACCGTCATCATCATCAGCGGATACATCGTCATCAGCTGCATCACCACGAGCTACATCAGCAGCAGATACATCGTCATCATCGACGCGTTCAACGTCACAGTCAGCACCGTCTCGCTCAACCAGTCTGCACAACCAGTCTACACAACCAGTCTACACAACCAGTCTACACAAACAGTCTACACAGCAAGTCTACACAACCAGTCTACACAACCAGCCTACACAACCAGTCTACACAACCAGTCTACACAGCCAGTCTGCACAACCAGTCTACACAACCAGTCTACACAAACAGTCTACACAACAAGTCTATACAACCAGTTTACACAACCAGTCTACACAAACAGTCTACACAACAAGTCTATACAACAAGTTTACACAACCAGTCTATACAACCAGTCTACACAGCCAGTATACACAACCGGTCTACACAACCAGTCTACACAACCAGTTTTCAAAACCAGTCTACACAACCAGTCTATACAACCAGTCTACACAACCAGTCTACACAACCAGTCTACGCAAGCGGTCTACACAACAAGTCTACACAACCAGTCTACACAACCAGTCTACACAGCCAGTCTACACATCCAGTTTATACAGCCAGTCTACACACACAGTCTGCACAACCAGTCTACACAACCAGTCTGCACAGCCAGTCTACACAACCAGTCTACACAACCAGTTAACACAACCAGTCTACACAACCAGTCTACACAACCAGTCTACACAACCAGTCTATACAGTCAGTCTACACAACCAGTCTACACAACCCGTCTACACAACCAGTCTACACAACCAGCCTACACAATCAGTTTACACAACCAGTCTACACATCCAGTCTAGACAACCAGTCTACACAATCAGTCTACACAATCAGTCTACACAACCAGTCTACACAACCAGTCTACACAATCAGTCTACACAACCAGTCTACACAACCAGTCTACACAACAAAGGCTCAGTCCTAACAGCAGCCTCAGCCGCACCAACCTTACCATAATAAAACATTAACCCGTAAAAACAAAGTTTTTCACTATAAATCCTTTATATGCGTGGCATCGGTTTTATTTTATTATTAATTTCTGTTTTTCTTGAGTAAGAGTTTCATTTTTATCACATTGGTATTTTAAATTAAATATGAAAAAAAAATTTTCCTAAAAAGTGGAAAATTTTTGAAAACATTTTTCACGAAAATAAATTGTCACGGACAACGAGTCTGTGTGCAAAATGTCAGCTCGATTGGATCACGGGAAGTGGGTTAAAAAACGACCGAAAGATTTGCACGGTCGTAAGCGCGCAAGCAAGTGAACTTAATATAAAGGATTAAAAAAAAAAACTCCGATCCAGGGGCCTACCCTGGCTCCGCCCCCCTCAACCAGTATTATTTCCCTTCTACGTGACTTTACCGAAAGAACCAAGAAGATGCAGGGAAAATGTCAGGAACAACACAGACCTCTCTACGCGGCCTTCTTTGACCTCGCCAAAGCCATTGATTCTGTCAACCGAGAATCTCTGTGGAGGATCCTTCAAAAGTCGTGGATGTCCACCGAAATCTGTCGCCATTCTTCGCTTGCTGTGTGATGGCTGTGCGAGCGGTCATTCTACGAAATGGATCCATCTCAGATCACGTGGAAGTTAAGACTCGAGTCAAACAAGGCTGTGCCATCGCCCCAACACTCTTCTCCCAATATTCCTCGCCGCGATGCTACAGCTAAACTCCTGGCAAACTTCGAGCAGGAGTGGAGCTCAACTACCGAATGGGATGGTTAGCTGTTCAACATCAACCGACTACGATCTAATGCTAAGACCATCCCGACAGCAGCTGTTGAACTCCAGTATGCTGCTGACGATGCTGTAGTGTGTGTGCCCACTCAGGAGTGAATGTTCAGGCAATCGTAAAAAACTTTTACTGAGGCATTTTGAGAAAATGGCACTGACGCTTAATATTTGAAAGACTAAGGTCTTCCATCAACCAGTTCTCAATGTGCAGTTCCCAGCTCCAACAATCTACATCCACGGTGAGCCTCTAGAAAATGTTGAGCATTTCCCATACCTAGGAAGCCCTCTTTCTCAGAATGCTGAAATGTGCAAGTGGAACTTTCGGTCGGCTGAGAAAAAGGGGTGTTTGAGGAAGGTGACATGAGGTCCAAACACCAAGACCGTGGCTTTATCAAGCAGCCGTAATCTCTACCTTACTGTCTGGAGCTGAGACGAGGGTAACATTACGGGAGACATCTCAAAGCGCTAGAGAAGTCCAATCAACGCTGCTTGCGGAAGATCCTTGACATCGGGTGTGAAGATGGCAGACGCACTTGCTAACATCAGCGTCCGCTCGCGAACAGACACCGCGAGTTTCGATTTAAAGCTTTCGTGACTGCAGGGATTCATCTTCACCTGAGGACGGCTGCTTGCGTTGTGGCCGAAACGTCGTGACAATTATTTTATTATGTTTTATTTGTATTATTTTATTACTTCCCTTCTACGTGACTTTACCGAAAGAACCAAGAAGAAGACACCGCGAGCACGGATGCCACGATCATTCGACATCAGCTACGCGGGGCCGTCCACGCCGTTCGTATGCCAGACCCCAGACTCCTAAAGCAGCGATGTCTTCCACTCCCAGCTCGGTGGGGGGGGGGGGGTGCGTTCAAGAGGAGGGCAGAGAGAAGCGCTTCAAGGATATCGTCCTCAAGGGCGAGGCCTTACCTCGGAGCACCGCAGATGGAGACAACAACAACAACCGCCATTCGCCACTAAGTAGCGGTGACGTCACCACGACGCTTGTGCCAGGCCATGTGCACGTTGAGGCAGTCACGTGAAGTGTCGAACGCTCGCTGGCAGGAGGTCACGGGGCAGACCCAGCAGGTGCCGCGGGTCGACTGACTGAGATGACTGAGGCGACTGGCTGATGCACCACCTGTGCCCCCGACTGTGCCAACTTGCTGTGCTTTAGCCACCCGGCGCTCCGCTCGTTGTTGTGAGTGTCGCTCCTCCGCCCTCCGTTGTTGTTGGAGGGCGACTGCCTCCAACTGCCCAGTAGCGTCCTTCACGAGCCTCCTCCACTGAGGCCGATCTTGACGCCGCTGGTACCAGTCATCGGCAAGTCCACTCAGCTCCACGTCCTCCTGTACCACATCACTCCATCTCTTCTCTAGCCCATGCCGCGCCCGTTTAGCCCCCTCTGTCCGGCCGAACAAAAGCTGTTTAGGCATGCGGTGGCTGGGCATGTGGGCTACATGGCCCAGCCAACGCAGCCTTGCCTGCCGGAGGAGCTCACCGATGGGACTTTGCCCAGATCTTTCAAGGATTTGTGAGCTCCTCACACAATCCAGCCTGGTGTAACCCAGGATGGATCGTAGGCAGGCCAGCCTAAATGTTTCTAACCGGCGAAGATGTTCCATTAGGGGTGTCCACGTTTCGCAAGCGTAGAGAAGGGAGGGAATGACCGTGGCCGAGAAGACCTGAAGCTTCGTGCGGAGCGAGAGACCAGGTAGCTTCCACACAGCGTTACGCAACCGATGAAAAGATAATGCCGCTCGACTGATTCGGAGTGAGACCTCTGCTGTCAAACCGGAGCCGGTCATGAGCACACTGCCCAGGTATGGGAAACTCTCCACTCTCTCCGCAACTGCCCTATCAGCACCACCACTTCCATCACCACCACCGTCATCACACAACATCACCCCCAACCACCACCACCACCATCACTACCATCATTACCACCACCCCTACCATCACCACAATCATCACAGCGATCAGCAACCACCATCACCACCGTCACCGTCATGCAAACGGGCACAGGCGCAGGCCTGCAAGTGCCTGGCTGCTCACTGCACCGCAGTGGAGACTCCCGTGAGCGAGGGAGAGAGAGACCCATGGCCCACACTTGACCCCGCCGCACGCGACTCAACGGCTGCATCAGCTGCCGCTCCGGGAGATAGTCACGACTCCAGCGAGCTCACCCCAGCAGGCACCCCAGTCACGGCCTCCTTTGTCTCACCTCACCTGCCCCCCCCATCTCACCTCAGAACCTCCCCCCCACCTCACCTGCCCCCCCCCCACCTCACCTCACCTCACCCCTCCCCCCACCTCACCTGCCCCCCCCCATCTCACCTCACCTCACCTGCACCCCCCCCCACCTCACCTGCACCCCCCCCACCTCACCTCACCAGCCCCCCCATCTCACCTCACCCCCTCCCCCCCCCACCTCACCTCACCTGCCCCCCTATCTCACTTCGCCCCCTCCCCCCACCTCACCTCACCAGCCCCCCCCCCCCCCCACATCTCACCTGCACCACCCTCCCCCCATCTCACCTCACCTGCCCCCCCCCACCCCACCTCACCTCACCCACTCCCCCCCACCTCACCTGCCCCTCCATCTCACCTCACCAGCCCCCCTCTCCCCATCTCATCTCACCTGCACCCCCCTCCCCCCCACCTCACCTGGCCGTGGAGTCCCGTTGACGGTGAGCGGCGCGAGAAGGAGGACGAGGTGGAGGACGAGGTGGTGTTGGTGTTGGTGGTGGAGGAGGTGGTGGAGGAGGTGGACGAGGTGGACGAGGAGACCCATGGACGCGCTTCTCTCTCCTCTCCGCGTGTCGCGCGCACGCGAGCGGTGGACTCGGAGTGCGGGAGACGGAGCCAGCAGAGCCCCGCGCGCTCCCCCCCCACCCCCTCTACCCCCACCCCCTCTCACCCCCCCCCCTCTCACCCCCCCCCACACCCCTTTACCCCCTCTCCCCCCCCCCACCACCACCACCACCCACGATCACACCACTCCCCCTGACAATAACAACAACAATAGCATCGCAATAACACATTGCTGCTGACACCCCCACCTCGCTCTCTCCCTATCACCTCCTCCTCACTCCTCCTCACCTCTCCCTCTCTCCTTGCGATCCACACCTACTCACTCGCCTACTCACTCGCCTACTCACTAGCTATCAACACCTACTCACTCATCTACTCACTCACCTACTCACTCACCTACTCACTCACTATCAACACCTACTCACTCACCTACTCACTCACCTACACACTCGCCTACTCACTCACCTACACACTCACCTACTCACTCACCTACTCACTCACCTACTCACTCACTCACCTACTCACTCGACTACTCACTCACCTACTCACTCACCTACTCACTCACCTACTCACTCACCTACTCACTCGCTATCCACTCACCTACTCACTCACCTACTCACTCACTATCCACTCACCTACTCACTCACCTACTCACTCACCTACTCACTCACTCACCTACTCACTCGACTACTCACTCACCTACTCACTCACTCACTCACCTACTCACTCACCTACTCACTCACCTACTCACTCACTATCCACTCACCTACGCACTCACTATCCACTCACCTACTCACTCACCTACTCACTCACCTACTCACTCACCTACTCACTCACTATCAACACCTACTCACTCACCTACTCACTCACCTACTCACTCACTATCAACACCTACTCACTCACCTACTCACTCACTCACCTACTCACTCACTATCCACTCACCTACTCACTCACCTACTCACTCACCTACTCACTCACTCACCTACTCACTCGACTACTCACTCACCTACTCACTCACTCACCTACTCACTCGACTACTCACTCACCTACTCACTCACTCACCTACTCACTCACCTACTCACCTACCTACTCACTCACTATCCACTCACCTACTCACTCACTATCCACTCACCTACTCACTCACCTACTCACTCACCTACTCACTCACCTACTCACTCACTATCAACACCTACTCACTCACCTACTCACTCACCTACTCACTCACTATCACACCTACTCACTCACCTACTCACTCACTCACCTACTCACTCACTATCCACTCACCTACTCACTCACCTACTCACTCACCTACTCACTCACTCACCTACTCACTCGACTACTCACTCACCTACTCACTCACTCACCTACTCACTCACTATCCACTCACCTACTCACTCACCTACTCACTCACCTACTCACTCACTCACCTACTCACTCACTATCAACACCTACTCACTCACCTACTCACTCACTCACCTACTCACTCACTATCCACTCACCTACTCACTCACCTACTCAATCACCTACTCACTCAATCACCTACTCACTCGACTACTCACTCACCTACTCACTCACTCACCTACTCACTCACTATCCACTCACCTACTCACTCACCTACTCACTCACTATCCACTCGCCTACTCACTCACCTACTCACTCACTCACCTACTCACTCACCTACTCACTCACCTACTCACTCACTATCAACACCTACTCACGCACCTACTCACTCACCTACTCACTCACTATCAACACCTACTCACTCACCTACTCACTCACCTACTCACTCTCTATCAACACCTACTCACTCACCTACTCACTCACTTACTCACTCACCTACTCACTCACTCACTCACCTACTCACTCACCTACGCACTCACTCACTCACCTACTCACTCACCTATTCACTCACTATCCACTCACCTACTCACTCACTCACCTACTCACTCACCTACTCACTCTCCTACTCACTCACTATCAACACCTACTCACTCACCTACTCACTCACCTACTCACTCACCCACTTACTCACTCACCTAATCACTCACCTATTCACTCACCTACTCACTCACCTACTCACTCACCTACTTACTCACTCACCTACTCACTCACCTACTCACTCACTCATTTACTCACTCACCTACTCACTCACTATCCACTCACCTACTCACTCACTCACCTACTCACTCACCTACTCACTCTCCTACTCACTCACTATCAACACCTACTCACTCACCTACTCACTCACCTACTCACTCACCCACTTACTCACTCACCTACTCACTCACCTATTCACTCACCTACTCACTCACCTACTCACTCACCTACTTACTCACTCACCTACTCACTCACCTACTCACTCACTCATTTACTCACTCACCTACTCACTCACTATCCACTCACCTACTCACTCACTCACCCACCTACTCACTCACCTACTCACTCTCCTACTCACTCTCTATCCACACCTACTCACTCACCTACTCACTCACCTACTCACTCACTCACTTACTCACTCACCTACTCACTCACCTACTCACTATCCTACTCACTCTCTATCCACACCTACTCACTCACCTACTCACTCACCTACTCACTCACTCACCTACTCACTCACCTACTCACTCACCTACTCACTCACTCACTCACCTACTCACTCACCTACTCACTCACTCACCTACTCACTCACCTACCCCCCCCCACGCCTTCTATTGGAAAGGGGGGGGGGAGGTGAGGAGGCGAGGGGCGGGGTTGATGGCGTGGGGGGGTTACCTAGACAACGCTCAGGCGCTCGCGCCACGTGACGTCACTAACTCCCACCCCCTCCCTCCTTACCCCTCCCCTCCTCCATTGATCCCCCCCACCCCTCAACCCAACGGAGGAGGGAGGGGCAAGGTGAGAATGGGGGGGGGCGCGTGCCCCTTACTCCCTCCCTCCCATTCATGATTAAGGAGCCAGGTGGTGGGAGAGGGGCGGGGCTGGAGGAGGAGGGGGAGGGAGGGGGGCGGTAGAGATGCACAGGGGGGTAAGGGGGGGGGTGGGTTGTGGGGGTGATTGGTGAACCCTGCAATGAGAGATAATGAGAGGGGTGGTGGTGGGGGTGGTGGTGGGGGTGGTGGTGGGGATGGTGGTGGTGGGGGTGGTGGTGGGGATGGTGGTGGTGGGGGTGGTGGTGGTGGGGTGGGGGTGGGGTGGTGGGGGTGGTGGGGGTGGTGGTGGTGGGGTGGTGGTGGTGGTGGTGGAGGTGGTGGTGGTGGTGGTGGTGGGGGTGGTGGTGGGGGTGGTGGTGGTGGTGGTGGGGGTGGTGAGGGTGGTGGTGGTGGGGGTGGTGGTGGGGGTGGTGGGGGTGGTGGGGGTGGTGGTGGGGGTGGTGGTGGGGGTGGTGGTGGGGGTGGTGGTGGGGGTGGTGGGGGTGGTGGTGGTGGTGGTGGTGGTGGTGGTGGTGGGGGTGGTGGTGGGGGTGGTGGTGGTGGTGGTGGTGGGGGTGGTGGGGGTGGTGGTGGTGGGGGTGGTGGTGGGGGTGGTGGGGGTGGTGGTGGTGGTGGTGGGGGTGGTGGGGTGGTGGTGGTGGTGGGGGTGGTGGTGGTGGGGGTGGTGGTGGGGGTGGTGGTGGTGGTGGTGGGGGTGGTGGGGGTGGTGGTGGTGGTGGGGGTGGTGGTGGTGGGGGTGGTGGTGGGGGTGGTGGTGGGAGTGGTGGTGGGGGTGGTGGTGGGGGTAGTGTTGGGGGGGGTGGGGGGTGGGGGGTGGGGGGTGGGGGGTGGGGGCTGTGGAGACCTCGCGCCGGAATCGAGAACTCGTTAGCGACGGAGCGTCTCGCGCGTGACTCTCACCAGCCCCGCCCCTCAACACCCCCACCCCCTCCCCCCACATCACCCCCCCCCCACATCACCCCCCCCCCCCCCCCACTTGCATTGTGACGTACGCCTCCCTGGCTTCCCGTCACACACCTGGCCTGGACATCGCTTCACGTGACCCTCACCTGTTGACCTCACCTCTGAAGCACGTGACCCGGTCTCAGGTCACGTGAACGCGGCCTGGAGTCGAACTTGACCTTGAACGAGTTTTCGGGTGAACTTGACACCACCTCGTCTCGCATGAACCTGACCTTTGACCTAGTTTCAGATGAACTGGAGCTGACCGAGTTTCGCGTGAAGCTGACCGTGACCCAGTTGAACGTGACCTTCACCTGACGTGACCCCGTGTGGAAGTGGCTCAGCACAGATGCGCGAATGAACGAGGAATGAATGAGGAACGACGACGATGACGACGATGACGACGATGATGATGAATCATTCGTCATGACCAATGGGGGAGCGGTGGGTCTGGTGGTTGGCGCACTGCGCTGGCGAACCTCGCCGCCAACTTACGGAGTGACACTCCGGCTCACGGCTGACATCAGTGGCGGGTGACATCTGAAGCCAGTAGTGCTGCGATGAATGAACGGCGGTGGTGAAAGAATGGTGGTGAATTATGAATGATTCGTGCGTTTACCGTGCCGGGGGGAGGGAGGGTAACGGAGGCACACCGAAGTGAACACGCGGGTTAGAGAACACACGCAGAGTAGGTGACATCGTCACACTGATCTTCATCAAGCAGTGGGTAGACCACGATGATGGTGGTGGTGGTGGTGATGGTGGTGATGATGGTGGTGATGGTGGTAATGGTGGTGGTGGTGATGGTGGTGATGATGGTGGTGATGGTGGTGATGGTGGTGATGGTGGTGATGGTGGTGATGATGATGGTGATGATGGTGATGATGATGGTGATGATGGTGATGATGGTGATGATGGTGATGATGGTGATGATGATGGTGATGGTGGTGATGATGATGATGATGATTCGAAGCGAGCGGGGCTCGTGCCAACAGGGCTACGCTGCGTGGGCGGCAGGCGGAGGGGGAGGGAGCGTTGCTCGTGATGAGATGATGAACGAGGCAGTAATGAATGAGTTGATGAGTGAATGAGTGAGGGGGTAGGAGACCCAATGCCTCTCTCTACCAGGCCGAGCGAATGGACAAGTGGGCGAGTGAGTGAGCGAGTGAGTGAGTGAGCAAATGGGTGAGTGAGTGAGCGAGTGGGTGAGTGAGCGAATGAGTGAATGAGTAAACGAATGAGTGGGTGAGTGAGCGAATGAAAGAGTGAGTAAGCGAATGAGCGAATGAGTGAGCGAGTGAGCGAATGAGTGAATGAGTGAGTGAGCGAATGGGTGAGCGAGGTGAGCGGGTGAGCGAGGTAAGCGAGCGAGCGAGCGAATGAGCGAGCGAATGACTGAGCGAGTGAGCGAATGAATGAGCGAGCGAGCGAATGAATGAGCGAGCGAGCGAATGAGTGAGCGAGTGTGCAGGGAACTTTGCGTCTGTCTCTACCAGACGGTCACGCACCTGAGGCTTGGGATGCATTATTCATACGGGACACAGAGACGCCCTCACTTACGGGGATATCATCAGCATCATCACCATCATTACCAACATCATCATCACCACCATCATTATCACCACCACCACCATCATCACCACCACTATCATCACCATCACCACCATCATCACCATCATCACCATCATCATCATCACCATCATCACCACCACCATCATCACACAGAGACCGATCACAGGGACATCACCAAACGAGCACGAGGGATATCATTGTGATCATAATGGAAGTGATCGTGGTGTCACAGGTCGCTAGACCATGATGGTGTGGTGATGATGGTAGTCATGATAATAGCGGTGGTGATGATGGTGGCGATGGTGGTGATAGTGGTGATGGTGTAGATAGTGGTGATGATGGTGGTGGTAGTGATGATGGTAGTGATAGTGGTGGTGGTGATGATAGCGGTGATGATAGTGGTGATGATGGTGGTGGTAGTGATGATGGTAGGGATGGTGGTGGTGGTGATGATGATAGCGGTGATGATAGTGGTGATGATGGTGGTGGTAGTGATGATGGTGGTGGGGGTATTGATGGTGGTGTTGATAGCGGTGATGGTGATGATGGTGATGGTGGTGGTATTGATGATGATAGTGGTGGGGGTATTGATGGTGGTGTTGATAGCGGTGATGGTGATGATGGTGGTGGTATTGATGATGATGGTGGTGGGGGTTTTGATGGTGGTGTTGATAGCGGTGATGGTGTTGATGGTGATGATGGTAGTAATGATGATAGTGGTGGTGGGGGTATTGATGGTGGTGTTGATGGCGGTGATGGTGATGATGGTGATGGTGGTAGTATTGATGGTGATGGTGGTGGGGGTATTGATGTTGGTGTTGATGGCGGTGATGGTGCCACAGTTGGCTGCACACACGCTCCGTAATCCCCGTGACAGGCAACGCTTTGCGTTCAATGTCTCTGTGGAGGGGCGGGGTGGATGGGGGATGAGGGGGGGGGGGGATGAGGGGGGGGGATGAGGGGGGGAGGGATGAGGGGGGGTGCCCCCCCCCCGCCGCCGCCACTATCACCCCCTCGCTCCCTCCCCCACCCATTATTGCCCCGATCGATGCCCGCTGTTGTTGTGTCTCTGAGTGGCGCTGATGATGGTGGTGGTGGTGGTGATGGTGGTGGTGATGATGGTGGTGGTGGTGGTGATGGTGGTGGTGATGGTGGTGGTGATGGTGGTGGTGGTGGTGGTGATGGTGGTGGTGGTGATGGTGGTGATGATGGTGGTGGTGGTGATGGTGGTGGTGATGGTGGTGGTGGTGATGGTGGTGGTGGTGGTGATGATGGTGGTGGTGGTGGTGATGGTGGTGGTGATGGTGGTGGTGATGGTGGTGGTGGTGGTGGTGATGGTGGTGGTGGTGATGATGGTGGTGGTGGTGGTGGTGGTGATGGTGGTGATGGTGGTGGTGGTGATGGTGGTGGTGATGGTGGTGGTGATGGTGGTGGTGATGGTGGTGATGATGGTGATGATGGTGGTGGTGATGGTGGTGGTGGTGGTGGTGGTGATGGTGGTGGTGGTGATGATGGTGGTGGTGATGGTGGTGATGGTGGTGATGATGGTGGTGGTGGTGGTGATGGTAGTGGTGGTGATGGTGGTGATGGTGGTGGTGGTGGTGATGGTGGTGATGGTGGTGGTGATGGTGGTGATGATGGTGGTGATGATGGTGGTGATGATGGTGGTGATGGTGATGATGGTGATGATGGTGATAGTGGTGATGATGATGGTGGTGATGATGGTGGTGATGGTGGTGATAGTGGTGATGGTGATGATGGTGGTGATGGTGATGATGGTGGTGATGGTGATAGTGGTGATGATCATGGTGGTGATGATGGTGGTGATGGTGATAGTGGTGATGATGATGGTGGTGATGATGGTGGTGATGGTGATGATGGTGGTGATGGTGATGATGGTGGTGATGGTGATAGTGGTGATGATGATGGTGGTGATGATGGTGGTGATGGTGATAGTGGTGATGATGATGGTGGTGATGATGGTGGTGATGATGATGATGTTGATGATGGTGATGGTGGTAATGATGGTGGTGATGATGGTGTTGATGGTGATGATGGTGATGTTGGTGATGATGGTGATGATGATGGTGATGATGGTGGTGGTTGCGTTGGCCACCGAACAACATTCCCGATAAAACTTTCAACAGCGACTGATCCATCCCAGTGATTTGTAAACACAAAAGCAAAAAAACCCAAACTCACCCCCCCCCCCATCACCGTGTAGCCTGCATCAGAGCGCTGTGTCAGGCTGCACGTGTGTGGAACTTCTTTCGCACCGTACGTAGCCC